CTGACTCGTTCCAGTACACCAATGCGCACATCTCTCTCCAGATCTGACTTGACTTTTTCTTGCCAATGAACAGGTACCAAGGCAGGCTTGTGGATTGCCACTGGTTTTGCACCCGGATCTACATGCAAGTGTAATGGCTCACAATTCATCAATGGCAGGGGCTGATGTTCACACACGTTAAAAGTGGTAGAACCGTAGTAATTGATTAGCCATTCCTTCAAGGGCGTCGACGTCCTCCCTTGTGGCTGAGAGGCCTTCTGGTAAATTCTTCGGTATAGGTGGCGGTTTGCTGGTTCACTTTGGGCAAGAACACGCAACTCCATCAACATGTTCGCTCACATCTTCGTGTCCTGTGGCTGTATTAATATTCAATTATATGGTCTGCAGCAGGTACTGATGGGAAATCACATGGGATTGCACCTATATCTACCAATGCTCCCTACAAAGGAATGCTTTTTTGCATATAGCAGACACTAGCAAAAAATCTTCGCTGTTCGGGTTGTCAATGTCGTCCTTAATTGAAACTCCACGATGATCGCCCCCGATAACACCAAGGTTCTCTTTGATAGCTCCATGCATTACCAGTTTCACAAGGCAACAAATCACCTGCGGCTGAATCCCATAGCGAAATGCTGAGGCTGACGGAATGATCGTGCTCTGGCATCCGGTGTCTGCTACCATAGGCCATCATTCTTGCTTTCAAATTTTTGGTGCACTTGATTTCATGCCCAAATTTAGCATGTTCAGAAGGTAGTGGTGTTAGTTTTGCCTGAATCATGGGTGTGGTTTCGATGGACGAGGAATCCAAGAACCCTGGAAACATGGTGGTCAAGACATCTTTTTTGCTGTGTGCCCAGTTTTTGACTGGCCTAAATGCAGTACACAGTGTGTCAAAAGTTCCGGATGTCTCATTGTGATATGGGGATGGAGAGCGCTTTCCATCAGACGAACTGTCATTTTTGAACTGCTTGTGTCTTCTGCCGAGTGAGCAATTTCTTGACGAGCGGTTTCTGTGACCCCAAGAATCACAATGGATGCATTTGCTGCACATTGCTGTATAATGACCCTTATTGCCACATTTAGCACATACTGATGACCAAGCCTGGCATTTCTTGGATCTGGTACTTATGTCATTACGTGGTCCATGAGCTGCATTCCCACATGCCCAACATTTTGACCACTTTCTTTTGCTTGTCGGTGACGGGTTGGCACTGCTAGACATGTTACCAGCTGATTCACCAACAGCGAACTTGGTAATTTTCCCCTGTTCTTTTTGAGCTATGAACGAGACAGTTTCATCAAGAGTTCTGTCAGTCTTGGAGTCTCCCAACAAGTCTGCTAAGATCTCATGGTCGGCGATTCCTCTCACCAAGTTGTCCTTGATAATCTCATTGCTATAGTCGAAAGTATGATCACAACCAGGTTGTCTGCATTTTGCTATATATTGCATAAAGCAGCTTGCCCTCGAAGATTGGCCAGAAAGATGCGAATGCTAGTTCCAGGTGATTGAATCATCTTGCTCAATTTTATCCTGTGAACAAGTGTGCTTTCGTCTTTCACAGCGAGGCGCTTAATTGCAGATAGCAGATTGTCTTCCGTCATTCGAGCCACATTCTCTTGTATGTCTCTCATGATGTCCGACCTCAGTTCCTGGTCGCAAGCAATGAAACAACGCTGTAGGGATCATGTTATCTGTAATACACATCCCAATCTTGTACATATCCCATTGTCTTTTGAATGCAGACCACTGTTCTGGGTCACACCCTGTAGATAGTATGGGTGGATCCAACTTGAGCTTCGGAGTAGGTGTTGCTGCCATTGGTGGGCTGTGGGCTGTCCTGCCATGTAGTTGGAGAGCGGCGGTTAGGGCATCCGCTAAAGCTGCATCCAAGTCCTGTGACATCCATTCACACCCATCAACTGGGCACTCTACTCTCGGCATCGTTGATTTTCAATAAATAAAATGTCGTGAGATGATGAAATATTTAATCCACAAAAGGTTCCATCATAAATGATAATTCACTTTCCTAGAATACGGTATTTATTATAAAGGATGATGGTACCTGCAATATACACACATAATATAAGATGGTTAGTTAAACATGATCGTACAATTCCGCCAAAACCTCGATGTTCGCAAGTGAGATGATAGATAAATACTTCCCTGTATTCGATCAAATAACTTTAGCGTATCGTTGTTCTGCCAACAAACAGCAGGGTGCAAAATATTTCCGTCCTGTGATATGCTCACAAATATTCTCGATATTAATATCATACCCTCGCGTATGTACTTTCTATTAGCTCTTTAGTGATCCCTTCCATCCTTGGCCAAGTCATGTTTCGAATATGTGAACATTTTATTCGACCACACATGGCCGGCGGGATGTTAAAATTGTAAACAAGAGAGAGGTAAAATCCATCGCGAATTTCGTTATAACGGCTCGGCTCGTTTACGAATTGTTGCGCCTGTTATCGTCGAAAATGATTACATTTGTTGTATTTTGAGGCATTTAAGCAGTAATAATTAGGGCATGACATCATCAAAATCGTCAAGTGAGATCTTGAAATTGCAAATTCCGTAAATAAAATTGCGAATTATTCGGTAACGAATTCAGCTTTAATGACCGTCGGGATATTGTTTTGTTGAAAATTATTATTAATGAAAGGTAAAATTTGATCTAAATTGATTGCAAAAATGTTTTATTTTAAATGTAACAAAACACATTTTGCGATATAACCTTTTATTATCGAAAACGGGTGTCCTGAAAAGTAAAATAGGATCTAAATTAATCGCAAAAATGTTTTATTTTAAATGTAACAAAACACATTTTTCAAGATACAACTGTATTTTCGGATACCGGGTGTCATGGAGAGTAAAATGTGATCTGAATTCACCGTAAATAATGTTTCATTCCAAATGTATCATAACGCATTTTTTGCGATATAACTTTGTATTTTCGAAAACGAGGCGTCACGAAAATTATTAATTTAATGTTTTATCTATCGTCTAACTAACGTCTGGAACACATCATTTTCGGGGAGAACTCTAGCCCGCGAAACGTCATTTAATTTAAAATAGAGAATGTTTCACGCATTTCAAAACGGAAAATCACCAGTAAGTGGACAGGGATTCAACCCTCCGGATTCAGTATTCCATATCCCCGTGTCAGAACTTTCTGAAGAATGGAACAAAGAACCCGTCAAACCGCCGCGGAAGAAGTGGAGTATTTTTTGCACTAATAATTAGGGCGTGACAATATCAAAATCGTCAAGAAACTGGTGAATTTGCAAATTCCATAAATAAAATTGTGAATTGCTCGGTAACATTTTAGCTATAATTATCGCCGGGGTATTGTTTTGTTGAAAACACGTTGAAACTTGACGGAATTAGTTACAATTAGCGCCTGACCTCTATTAGGCACTCGAGCACTCGAAAAAAAAAGCACTCGAGCCCAATCTTTTTAGCATTAAGTCGCATACCTAAAATATCCTGCAAAAGAAGTGCTGTCCATTAACGTCATCTCGTCTTACGACCACGCAGAAATGCCTTTATAGCCGAATTATTCAATCACTATTTCAAATCAACATTCAGGATTGGCACAATTTCAGATTTGCGAAGTTTATCACCATAGAAATACATGAGAAAGTTAATTATCGTCTTAATAAATATCTGCATCACGGTATGGACAATAATATTACCATTCACATAAAATTGGGACGGTAAATTTACAAATCTTGATAGGTAATATTAAAGCCAGCGCAAATGTTAATTTGAGTCCTCAATGTCCTCAACAGCTGTTGCCGATGTGAACGAACGGGTAAACCCGAAATATAAAACTTCGATGTCCGCCGACCCACAAGAATTCATATTTGTAAAAAACAGAGGGCGGGAATATAGATTACCCAAAACCTGGATATCGCCGCCAAAACGATCGGTGACAAGAACAATTAGCGATTACAACGGAATTAACCAGTAAAAAGGCTTTGTTGCCGATTTTTTAATGTTTCCACCACGTTTATTCGGTACTCCTTAAAAATATTCGATTTAAAAAAATATTGAATTTTGCCCACCCCTCCTCGCATATCAATGAGAAATAGTTGTGTAAATATCGCAAAATTCCGGAAAATGCCACGTCCTTTCAACATTGTGATTACAATAAAATGGCACTTAATGGTATTTTGTGAATTTGTTGATTTTGCAAATCTGTGACATGCTGCTAAAAGTTAAGTCTGATTTGAAAATCGTGCAGTTTGGTCACAATTCATCCAAAGTGACTATAACACCTTACTAACACTTTTTATAGTCATTTTGAATTCATCGATATCATTGATAGTCACATGACCACTCTCGTTCAAAGAAACGCCCCGAGAGCGTTTTTTGCGGGAGAAGCGGAATCGGTGTGCTTGTATAATAATCATATTATAAACAAGAATTTTGCCGTTAATGCAAAAGCTTCATCTCCTATGTCTGCATCTCATAGGTTAGAATTCCGGTAAATATCGTTATGATATGCAGAATTGAGTTACAAAAGTACTAGTATGTTACTTATTTGTCAACTTAATACTCGAAAATATTTGTTAACTTTGAATTTTTATTCCATTCAAAATCGGAAAAAAGTGCTATTTCTCTTCAAAATCGGAAAAAAGTGCTATTTCGCAGTCCCTAAAAAAAGTTGCGAAAGTGCTTCGCAATTTTCGCAAAAAAGTGCGCTAATAGTGAACACTGCACCATCACACCTCTGATCACCCAGAGTGGCTTCGCAGGTTCAAATCCCATGGGGGATAATTATGTGTGAGAAGATTTCTGGTCTCCATACCGTTCACATGACCACACCATCCTCCAACATCAAGTCCATACATTTGAAACAAATAACTGGCTAACTCATTTCATACCTGACATGGACAGGGAACCAAGCGAATTTGAGAGTGTCAACAATTTGATATTTTCAGTTGTAGATTTTTACCTGTGTACTGAATGATCTAGTAACAATGTTTTATAGGTGTTGTTACAAATTCAAGTGTGCAACAAAGTAAGCCTTTCGAATGTTTCCAAGGATCTAGCACAGCGACATCTGATAAACTGGTGATTGCTGGTGGTTTAGCTTTTGTATTCGTTGCAGTTTGCTATGTATCGTAAGTTTTCTTTTTTATTTTACCCTTGATTTAAGAAAGCAGTAATATGGTTAACATAATTATGAGTAAGACCAGTCAAAATAAAAACATGTTGAATGTATTTGAATGGCGTTATTAAATGTTGAGTATGCAGTTTATTTTTATGCCTAAACAGGAATTCATTAAAATTACTCCATCATTTCTAATTTTATATTTTGTGCTATTTTTTTGGTTCCAAACTTTTTTGAAGTAAAGAGTTATCCCAATATCATGCTATTAATATATATTACTGAAATCAAGACTTTACTCAATCGAATTTATTTTTTTTTAAAAGTATAAATATAACACTAATCTTAACGACTTCAAATAATGACTATCATATTGTGTAAGACTGTTTTTGTACTAAAACGATATTGACTAAGTTGGCTATTATTTATCCAACTATTCAAAGTGCACACAAGGTAAAAACCAGTCAAACAAATCTATTCAAATAAATAGGCTGTAAATGTAGGTGCAGCGTTGTTGGTGTAATGCTCGTGTGGTCATAAATGACTAAAGAATCTATTTTATGATGTTCAAACTTCAACAGTTGGAAATTTCCAAAATAGTGTGTGATGGAATTTTACCTTGTTATCATAGTACATTAACCAGCAGCATTTGCTTCACATACCAGTAGAATTTGTATGGAAATGGACCAAGGATATATGTAAATTTTTCCTGTTCCTCATTTGCCATTCAAAGTGGAATATTTTAAGATAATGAAATATTTTTTAATTTAACAGCTTGAGAACAACAAGTGAAGAAGAGCGACTAACATTGCACGGAAAGGCACCTGATCCAGAAGAAGCAACTTGCTGTTGTTGTTGTATGGCTGGTGGATATGACAGCGGAGCTGGTGTGTTTTATTGTTTAGTAGTATAACAAGTATTAGAACCTCATTTTCAAATGTGAACAGTGCAAGCAACTATTCAGGCTTAGGATATATCAAGTCCATGCATCTGAAAACAAATAACTGGTCGACTACGGTAATTCCATACCCGACGTAGACTAGTAAGCAGACGAGAGGCTGTGGTTCGCCATGTGATACTTTATGGATGAAATGAATTATGAAACACTGTAATAACGGTTTGAAGTCTGGGTCCCTAAACTTCATAGCAGCATTGTCTGTCCAACTTGATTCTCAATTAAATATTGAAGCCCACAGAGACTATTGAAATAGATACAAGTGTCTAAATGCTAATCAACATAAATTTCATATTTTGTGAATCTTTATACATGTTAGTTCGATCATTGGCTGGTTGTACATGGTTGTATTAAAATATTTTTAACTTGTCATATTGCAAAATAACACAAGATTTGCCTATATATATATATGTTCACTGCATCGTGGAATGCCCTTACATCTCTGTAATCTCCTCTAATAGCATCTGTGTAACATACTCAAATATTTATGTTTCTATCAGTTTCAGAATCAGATAAGGGTGGACAGCAAGTTGTTGATGATGAAGAGGATAGTGTTACATATTCCTACTCGTTCTTTCATTTTATATTTTTTCTCACAACATTATATGTGATGATGACTCTGACAAACTGGTTTGCGTGAGTATCGTGTTTTACATATCTTCTTAGGGTGGAAATATTTGGACAAGTCATATAAGTTAAGTGTTGTCAGACTGGAGTAAAAAATAATAGAGTTTGTCAATGTCTCTACTGAAACTCATCTTCTCTGTGTTTCTGTATGATATACCTATGATAATTTGCACTCTTCGCACCCGAGTGGGGGAGCCATGACATTTTATTGGAACTGGAGCCAGCTTCAGTAGCTCCATCTTCTAACGTTTGATTTTTCTTCGTGGATATAATTCTCTAATACTTGATACGGATAATGAAAACTATCCTCGTCATCTAATACTTATTTCTATAAGCATAATTACTGATATTAATTTAAAAGTTTCAAGTTAAATTTCTATGTTTAAGGTTTAATTTCAGAATTTGAAAACCTTGTATCATAGTTTTGAGTCCAGACTACACAAAACTGCATTTGGACTGATGTTTCATGGTAACGGCCATACTAAAAAACTTCAATGGCTGTTGAGCCCAAGCTGGATCCCAGTGATTAGATGGAAATGATTAGGCTTGAGCCAGCGTTTGAAAATACTGCGGCTTCGGAGATGGAGCCATTAGGATCTCTATGCAGCTCCCTAGCCCTGATTCGGAAAAATCATTCTTAGGGTTTAAGCATACCTAATGGAAATTTATTTATACACAGACCTTCAAGCGACCAAACCGTCGAAAGTGCCTATCTTAATGGAAATACTGCATCTATGTGGGTAAGAGTGGCAACATCTTGGGCTGTCATCATAATCTATGTATGGACCCTCATTGCTCCAGCATGCTGTCCCAACAGAGAGTTTCCAAATTAAATTCATCACTGAAAATCAGAGATTGGTGTTTATATAATAGCTTATTGCATTTTATTAACTGCATTCATGTTAAGAGAGACAAATTGATAGTAACTATGCAGTGGAAATGTGTGCATGAGGCTCGTTTCTTTGGACTTTGATAGTTCAGAAAATCAAGAAAACTTTGTTGTCATCTTATTGTTCATGTTTGTAAATATCTTTTAATAATGCAGCCTCATCTTAATAATATCTTCTTTATGACTTTGTCGATGCCAAAATTTTACAAAAACGATAAAGCTAATCAAATTTATCGCAAATTAAAAATACGTTTATCATTTCATCATCTCAGGACAGCAATAATTTGAGTTGATTTACTTCATTCCTGTTAGTAGCACGTAATGATAATCTTGAATGAAGGGTACAAAAGCACTGTTATGGTGTAATGTGGGCTTAGTGTTTTTAAATTGCAGCTTGTGTTGGATTTTGATAAAAATCCAGCCATACTTGAAAAGGAGTTATTATTGTCCAAGTTTACATAGCAGTGCACTGCAGGCATCAGGATGTATACTATTCATTGATTCTTTATCATTTTTGTAATCACTTTTAATATATGTAATAATCATTGTTATATTGCATTTTTTTAATCTTTTTGTATGTTCTCTTTTCAATGATAGTGTAATTCTAAATATTCTGCTAATCCAGATTGTTCAACATAAATCATGATATGACATGAGGTTCTTCATTGCTATGTTTAAAGGATCCAAGCATAAATTGTGCTTCACCGGTCTTAAACATTCTTGGAGTGGTTTATCAAAAGTTTATATAATAAGACTAATTAAACCATTCAAGGTGTCTTACTCATGTTTCAACAGAGAGCTTCAAGATAAATTTAAAGTGATCAAGTTTTCAGTCACAAGTGGTATCTAATAACACAAACATTTAAAAAATATCGTTGGTTTGAAATATCGTTTACGTTCAACAGACTACACTTGCCTTTTTCAATCCGTAGTTTTATAAGAAAACCAAATGAGCATAATATTGATCGAGTTGCATGAAAAGTTGTTTGATATTCCTGTTTGTAATGTGGTTTATTAATGCATTTCGGGCCAATTTTTGATACATACACTTACTGTATATTGATAAACTGAACGTTACCTGACAAATACTTTTAGAATAAGGTTCATGGCGGGTTGTGCACTAATTTACGTTTCCTTTTTGTTGGTGGTCTGTTTTTGCAATTAAATGTCTGATATTTTTTCCTTCACATAATAAATATATGCCTGTAAGAATTAGTGTTGCACTTCATTGGGACTTCTCCATTCAAGCCAATTGAGATTGATCATTTCAAAAAAACATTGTCAGGTCTAGGAGAGACAGATTGGGTATTTACAAGAAAGTGGCTGCCAAGTCATCAAACGATTTGAATAGAGGCCTTCTGGTGATTCCCTAATTACTTCAATCGAAAATGTGCTAAATCAACCTTGCATATTCATTACTCCCTCTAGTCGCTGTTAAAAATCTTACTTACTGGAAAACATACAAGGTTCCAGATTATATTTGTACAATTGGCATAGTAGATATGCATACGTATATTTTTTGCATTTAAAGGCGATATAACCAGATTCCAGTATTTTGCAGAACGTGGCAGAGAATATACATAATACAAATACTGCTAAAATTTTATACAAGACATGTACCCTTGTTATGCACTTCAAGAATTAAACCTATCATTAGCTTGGCAAACTGTTGCAGTAAACACAGACTAGAGAATAAAGAATATGATACGAATGATCGTGTTGAGCACAGGCCATCTGGGGTAATACCAAGCTGAATTCAGTTGCCAGTAATTTGGATAATTTCATTTTGATTATACAGAATATTATTTTTTACAAAACATTAGCAATGTCCTTGAATTTGATATTCTAAATATCAGACTGCTATTTAGAGGTACTGGCTCCTCCTGTGTCTTTCTTCGCTTGACTTGCAAGTTGCTTTTGCCGCATTATATCCGCGTCACTGTGAATATAGTATAATGTCAAATTAGGGGTTTATTACTTCGTATAATAAAGCAGGTCAGTGACATCAAAACACCCGAAAATTCTCACCAAATTGTATCTTGTTTTATACACGGGAGAAAAACCTGATGAGAAATGAAATATTAGACTAGAGATATTTAGAAAATTAGATACCATATTATTTGTTGATAAGCTGAATCTGGGCATTTTGTTGAAATAAAACTATCTGGATGTTGTGACTTTATTGCACATTCAAACATGCCAAGATATCAAAGGACTTCGATAATGAATCACATTTTACCTTTGCATACGCTTCTCTTTAGACACACCTGACTCCTTGTTTTTGCCCCTTGCTATGTCAGCTTGTTTTTTTTGGTTCTTCTTACGAGCAAGTTCCCTCTGATTTCCCCCTGGAAAATATAAATCAAGAAACGTTATCTGTTTTGGCATTGCAGGTCAAACATGTCGGTTTGAATCCCATTCCACCCGGGTATAAAAATTGGGTAGGAAATGCAGTCCTTCCAAATAATGGTAGCTCCTTAAATATCAGTGACTGCTTGTGTAGGGCCTGGTTCAGAGCAAAATGTATGAAAAAGCAGAAAAGTACACTCACTTGTCATGATTGTTGTTATTCTTCTTTGACCTCACAGACCTGGTCCAAATACAGTCATCAGACAGCCGATGCTAGTATGCGTTTGTCAATGTTGACAGTTGAGCTTCAATCGGAATCTTTGTCACCAAAGCAATACAATGGATGCTCAAGTATAATATGCTTACTAAATAAATATAACAAAAACATGAAGTGTAGATATGGATAGACAGATAGATGTAACTCTGTGAAGTCCATAATCATTATTTTATATTTATATATATGTTTACCTATCCCTTAAAATTGTTTCTGAAATTATGAAAAACTCGCTATTAAGACTATTCAATGTTTTATACACATCCCACGTCAGTATTCAACACTTAGGCATCCAAGTTTTACAAATAGCATTGTTTGGTAGATAAGAACTGATTTTCCTACAGGAGTGGTGACTCCTCTACGGCCCTGGGCCACGGCCCATCTAATTGGGCCACATGGGCCGTGGCCCATAGCTTGATGGGCCGTGGCCCCATCAGGAAAAATTCAATTATCTTAACAAAATTTTCAATTTTTACCAAATTGTCAATATTCGAACCAAAAAAATATACTCCTGTAGTATGTGTACCAGGTTAGGGTTAGGACAAAAAAAATCAGATTTTTTACATTATAGTTCTATTATGAGTTCGGGGACTGTCTGTGTTAGCCAAGTGAATAGTTTCTTTACATAACCTGATGGGCCGAGGCCGAATTCAATGGGCCGTGGCCCCGGCCCATGGGCCGCAGAGGAGTCACCACTCCCACTCTAATTTTCTACATTTTTTATTTCTGATGCATAAAATCGGCAATTAGCTAGTGGTAGCCTACTGTCCATGTTTAAGAAAGTCGTCTGGAACGGATCGAAAAACTATAAACTTATTCCTTAAATGCATTGAAATAGCCCAGAAATTACAGAATACCTATTTTCTCAGAAAAAATTTATTATTTTGCAGTCGCAGCAGAGAGTAATCATAATTTTATACTGATATACATGAATGTTAAATACAGAAATTAAAAATGTATATCAGTACATCAAATTTTATAGTAGACACCTCATTGCTGTATTAAGCATTTCCATTATTTAAAATCAAAAGTAGCGGTATCGTATGCAACATTTACCGGTAGACTATTCATAATAACTGAACTAATAGCTGAATAGGCTACTTGTCTTCTTTTGACAACACCCTTAATCTAATATATGTATCCATACCTTTTTTAATATGTTAGAACAAGTCAAAAAAAGCAATGTTTTTTATCATAACGCATTGATTAAGTGTTCCCACCCACTATAGTTCCAATTGTCAGATTGTTATTACATTCCATGAATTTATTTATCATCCATTTGATTTTGCAGTTTTGTTTGCTCTCCCGAATCCGTAATCAGTTTTATTCATTTTGTTTTCCACTTATTTTATTCTATCGTCTACTCGTTTCAACTATTTTGCCGTCTAGTACGCTGATTATAAAACAGAAACGAACCTATTATACGCCTGAGGTTATAGTAGTTACCGTAAACCCTTATATTGTTACCTGATAAAATTTGACTGCTTTTAGCATATGTACTTTTCATAGTTAACTTTCCCAATGATGCTCTTTATTTTCATTACTTGCAAGAATGGAATTACCAAAATGTCAAATTTCATCTCTGCATCACAATTGTTTGTCACTATAATAGTTACTATCATTGTTGTTCAATCCAAATGTTATCAGTTATGTGTGGTATCTATTATTATATTTCGAGATTTTTTGGAACAAAGTTTCCTCTAATTGCTCAATTTTCATTACGGTATATGTTGTGCAGTTGCACTTGTCATAATTGAATAATGTTAAATCTCTTAGCCAAATTGATTGTGCAATTCCAATAACTTTTACCCTGCATTTCAGTCATTCCTGACTATATTCGTATTTGTAGTTGTGGTGTGTAATGGATAAGTTCCACACTATAGCTCAAATCACTTGTAATATTTCTTCTCAATACACACAACTTACTGCTCTACATTGTTGCAGGTTTGTGTCAAGGTCCTTTCACCATACCAGTGTTTAATTAATTACTATCATTGCTATTGTTGATCAATGGAATGGTGCTTCTTTCATATATTTTGGTGTATATGATATTGCTATGTGTTGTTGATTAATTAATGTATGTAGTAGTATGTGTACCAGTGGGCGGGTAACTGGTTTTGTTCGCCTGCTTTACATCGGGTTATATGAGGTGACTGAGTCCTGTTTGGCAAGAGACTCATTTGCTCCCAAGCCCTTGATGGAATTAGGATAAAGAAGGTCTGGATAGGATTTGGGTCTGGCCCAAACATGGTACACATACTGCGGGAGTTCAATTAATATTTTCATATTTTTGTTATTTACTTTCCTAATACTGTGTATGTATCACTAAGTTGCACTAAAATATTTTTCACTTTCTCGTCACATTAAAATTTTGTCCCTGATCCACTGTTTATATATATCCAATTATTTATTATTTCTATTTATTATCGTTTCAAGCCCAATTGAATTTATGAATTTAGTAATTTAGTTTTCAGCTAAATATTAAATTTCCATAGCATTATTCTGGTCGCTTTAGATTAACATAGGACACCCCCCTTCCTTTATTGTTTTCTTCTACTTCCTTTCTTTTAAAAATACTCATAACAATGCATTTACCCACGAGTCTCCTAATTTTATTCAGAATTTTATTGTAAAAATATTAATTGTAATAGTTTAAGTAGTTTTGTCACTGGTCATCTTTCAGTGTTACCTTAATAAAATCAGCATATATGGTGGGAGCTGACTTCGATGACCGTATGGTCGTATCGCTTCCTCCTGTCCATACCAAAAAAAAAAAAATTTTTTTGCTAGTGCTATTTTACTGATGACTATTTTTTACGTTTTTTGGTTGACGAAATAATAAAATCTCTCTCTCTCTCTCTCTCTCTGAAGCCTGGCAACAATTCTCGAACAAGTGCGCGACGTCACTGACAGAAAAGCAACAATGAGAAGAAGCCTAAAATCATCCAAGCAGAAAATCGTCACGTGAAACTGAAAGGCAGCACATTCGACGAACAGCGTCGCGCGGAGGAGGTCGCTTTCGGAATTTTTCATCTTCAGGGTGTTTCTGGTGATTGCGCGGTGTTGCGCAATGCTCATCGGGAATTAATATATATTTTTCTCAAAAAATATGATTTGGCAAACCGAAGTTTATTGGTATAGGTCCGTCGGTCTGTCATCTGGTCATTGTGATAATTACTAAGGTACTATCACAAACTATTTTGCTGCCAGAACCTACTGACCTAGAATAGAAGACGGTGTTATTAGACTCCAGATCTCTGGATATAGACAATAGATAGCCTAGTCAACTTCAATATCATTCGTCTTATTGTAACCCGAGAAAATAGCAATATTATGTTTGTACAGCAGTATGTTAGAGGAATTTGGATCAGTCATATCTCAATAATTCCTTCTTACTAGTGGCGGAGTCGTGAATTGCACTGAAGTTACACACAACTAAACGCATTATATTTTGGAATGATTTTTCTGGTAATATAGTCTAATTCAGGGCTTCCCAAACTTCTGAGCTCGCGGCCCATTTTAATATATTAATATTTTTCGTGGCGCCTGTTAACGTTAAAAATGCCAAACAGTTCGAAATATGCATATTTGATATCTTATTGACACTGCTAATCTTTCAACTTTTAGTGGGCGTACTCAATAAGAAAAACAAGCACAAATTTACTCTGATTAACAGTACTCAATTATGCAGTGTAATGGGTGCGGATGCTTTTTGCTGTATAGCAAGTCCAGCCGTAGCTCAATGTTTGTTTATGCAGACCTAAATGATGAATTACAATGTCTGGTCACCAACAGCATGGTCCTTATCCAGAATTTTTTTAACCCTGCGGTGTGGCTCATCGGGCTAAGCATGATGTGGGTTTGCAAATTCGAATCCCATGCGGGGATAGTTATGTGCGAGAAGATTGCTGGACTCCTCGCCGCCGTAGGGTGGTTCACGTAACCGATAGTCGGTTACCGCTTCCTCCACCATCAAGTATATGCTTCCGAAGACAAATAACTAACTAATTCCATACCCGACATGGAATAGTAACCGGACGACAGTCCGTGGTTCGCCATATGGTTAAGCCGTCTTATCGGCTTTCCTCTCCCCAGGATAAATATGTAAATCCTATCCTAACTCACCATAAGTCAGCAGTTTGTGTGGCGCCAAATTATCAGAGGGACACACCTATACGAAAAATCTGTGGATAAATATAATTTATTCTCGTTTCAAAAAGCGTTGCAAACTTCTATCCCCTTTGCGATTTTGTATTTATATAAAGCAGGCTTTTCTACCAATGGTCCATTAGATGTGATTTCACTGACTGTCGTTAGCTTTTGTTTGTTCGTTTATATGAAATTCATAGCAAAAAGGTCTTTTATTGAAAAGTATTAAACAATAGGTATTTTCACGTGGATTCGCAGCCTGAGCATATTTTTGGAGGGCTTCACAATACAATGAAGTTCGAGAACCACTGAGTCCTAGACGATAGCAAGAAATCTTTTCCACTTTTTAAATGGTTAATAATCTATATGTAGCAGTTAATCAATTTGAATCAAAACATTCTGTTTATATATAAATGTAAATCGGTATTCATATTCTGTATATAAAGACGCTGTCTTATTTTCTGGGAAACACGGTATGAAGATGTTTTCACTCAGAATCGTAAAATTTTGTTTTAAACTATTTTTATTAACTGTATTTTGAATCAAGAGTCTGAAATAAGTACCATAGATATAGTTAGTACTTTGTGTAGAATTGGTGTTCTCTTTGCGGCCCTCAAAATTCTTTTTGCGGCCCCTTCCAGGGCCGCGGCCCCTAGTTTGGGAAGCCCTGGTCTAATTTAATGTTTTTCATCATTTGATTTTTATATTTTAGTGCTCAAAGATTTATATCTGTAGATAATTTATTAAGCAAAATATCTCTGTGTGCTGGTGTATTTTCTAATTCACCATATTTTTGGTCAAGTGTTACATCAACTAATCTTTGGATTATAGAATTCTTTGAAAGTTTTGTTAACAAATGTCCCAAGAACTTGATGAAGTTTCGTCAGCAACATCCCAGGATCTACTTTTTGCCGCCTTGAACCAAAGTGGTTTATCAACTCTTGACTCAAATCAAGATGAGGAAATTATTGGAAATCAAACAGACAATCTTCTTGAGAGTTTACAAAACTCTGGTACATATTTTTTGCTTTATTTAACTATATATATACAGGGTGATCCAAAAAAAACATACCCACGAATTTCTTAATTCTACGAAAGCAAAGAATATTTATTATACACTTTCACAAATTTCTGTTTGTGTATGATTGTACCCAATGGTTTCATCAAGCTAGGATGCTTTGCTCAAAAGTTTTGTTCTCTCTAGAATATCCTCATCATTTGTGAAATAAATTCTTCTACTGACCCAAAGTCACCAACAATAATCTTTACTATTATTTGTCTTCTAGTCCAGATTTGTATTTTAAACTAGTATGGCAGTGGTTTTCAATCGGGAGTTTCGCCATTACAGTTCAGGGGTTCGAAGTTTCCATTCGAATCCTAGAGTCTTAAAATACTATATGTAAAATGTTTGAATCTTATTGGGTTAGCTTTTATAGCCAAGTCTGTAGATAATTTCGCCAAAAAGGTTGAAAACCACTGTTCTAAAAATGTAACAGCATACTTTGTATAAACATTTGAATAATTTATCATCTGGAAGTCACTTTTATCAAATATATGCGCAATAAATTATATTTTATAAACAAACACTCTAAATCTCTGTTGATTTTTTTAACTTACCAACTTATTTTTTTATGAAAATTTCATTCATTTTCCCATGTTGTAAATAAATAATTTATATATTTAGGTCTGTCGTTTGAAGCATCATCGTCAAAAATTAGTGGAAATGAACAGGTGTCAGTAAGTAATAATACTGTCTATCTTTGTGTTCTTATTTTTATATCGTTAGTAATTTGTAATTATATGCTACCTTTTTTACAGGCATCAACATCATCTCATCTGGTCAGCACTCCACAAGCCACTGTGAAACCCACCCTAGTAAATCTTGGTTCAAAACCAGCATCGCCAAAAATAATCACAATTACACAACAGGGAAAGAAAATTATAAAAGTTCCAATTATAAAAACAGCTGCAGGTTGCTTTTTTGTTTGTAATATAGGTTTACAACATTTAAATAGGGCGTTAAAAAAATTTGAAAAAAAATCAAGTATTTTTTTGTCATAACTTGGCCTTTGCACTCATATTTTACAAAGTAATATCTGTTTAACAAACTACTTCTCGATGTATAAATTAATTTACAGTATTTTTTAGATTTTAAATTTTATTAGAATGTATTCAAAAATCAGACATGCCACCTATATCTCAGCATGGATTAATCAGTGAAAATATATTATCGGTACTTTGTTATTTTACTACCTAAGTTTAAGCTTTGATATAATTGATATTCCAAAAAAGTGGTTCCCAATTGACGCACTAAGGGTGCAAATACATTGTTTTTATTACGCTAATTCAGGTTTTTTTTCTGCTTCAATATTTTGTTGCTGTCCAGCGAACATATTTTATTAGTTTTAACAGTCCGTCGGTTGGGAGCCACTGTTCTTGAAAATGAGATAGATTGCACATTGTTGCAACTTAGCTTGAATTTTTTATTTGTTAATATTGAATACTATTCATTTTTTTTAGATGCCAAAGGGAAACCAAATATCATCAGACTACCTCTCAATATAACAAGTACTGGCATCAAAAAACCTATCATTATCAAAAGGACTATCGTTTCAACCACATCTATAACTCCTGCTGGAAATATTACTACAATTCCCACTAGTGTGAAACGAATGTCACCAGTGCAACAGCCTCTGTCAAACGTAATACCAATAACATTACCGACAGCATCATTTTCACAAACTCCAAAAATAGCTCTAACCAACACAGAAGCAAAAAATACTTATGCTAAAGTAACTGTTGGTGGCAAAAAAATTCTTATTCCAATTATGAGAAAGAATGGTCCAAGTGTTCCCCATAAAATAGAAGTTCCAGCTGGTAGTGTAAGAGTATCAACACTCGCAACAACAAGAAACTCACCGATAATTTTCAATAATGTTGCAAACGTTGTTAAAACCCAACCTATAACTGTTGTCAGAAAGGTTGCAGGTAATGAAATTAGGACTATAAACTCAAATCCTGGCAGTCCTCAGGTTCGTATCGTTACAAAAGTCGAGAGTAAACAGAAGCTTCAAGCACCACCCTCATCAGGACTCAATCTCGGGAGTCTATTCATCGAGTCTGCTGAAAAGGAGGCTGATATAATTCCTACGGCCACTATACTGCCTGTTTCTGAGAATATTTTTAGTGACAAGAACAATAATTCAGGATATACTGATAAAATGACAATTACTGTTTTACCGCAACATCAGAAGATTTATCATAGGAATTGCGCTTCTCCACTTTCTCCAGTAACAGATATACTTTCATCATTGGCAACTGTCAGGTAAATATTATTTTGTTTAAAATTTTACTGCAGGCGTATTGTACTTCTACCTAATGAATCCTTTTTCTATAATAGGTCGTTTATTCTAGTGAAATGCAAAAGTCTAAAGCAAAAGTCAAGAAATTTTTATTGTAAAAATATTGCTTATCATCACAAAAAATAGAACACTAGGGTATTTGGTATGAGTATCTTTTGAATAAAATATCATGAGGAATCTTCTCCTCTAGTATTTCTCGTCAAGCCTGTGCTTCTAATTACAAACTTGCATCCAATAAATAACTTCAGTTAAGCTTAAGCAAAAAGGATATGTATGACAATCAATTTTCAGTCACCATGTATACCCAATAATTACATTGCTGCTTATGTCTGCAGAAAATAGAAGCATGCCACTAGAGAGCTATAAAGTTCAGTAGAAAGAATTCCACGGGTGCTTGCTGATTATCAATAGTGAACTACTGTCACACTCTAATAAAATTTAATATTTCATTTGGGTGTTCTTCCCTTCTGTTCTTAATTATTTTATTTCCAATCTGTACAACAACTGTATTTAACACCCATTCAATATAATCAAATATTTATACTTTACTTTCAACAGGCCACATTCACCATTATTGAAGATGTCAACCAATGATCAATACAACCCATATTCAACAAATAATTCAAGTAATAAAAACAGAGAACTGGTAAGATCATTGCGGCTGTCTAGAACCCAACTTATTTTGATTAGGAAGCTTTTTGACATGTGAGATCTTTTTTTCTGTTAACTTTGATAAATTTCACTCAATTTTCTATTTTTAGAAACATCAAAATTCTTGGCAAAAGGATTCAAAAATTCTTCCTAAGCCAAACACTGTGAGGGAGACAAAACCAGGAATAAATAGAAGTTATTCAGGTAATTATCATTGGGTGGTAATCAGGAAGCTGGTTTGAAATAACGACTCCAGCTGCGAAGCTTCACTTTTCACGTCAAAAGCTCCATCTTCGACTCCGTAGACATTGAGGTGGTATTTTGGTGTGACCTCTACCATGAAACTTAACTCAAATGCAGTTTCGCTGAAGAGAGACTCAAAACGTAAAAAATAAATATTCTGCTGAAAAGTATAGATTTATAATATATGGAGTATTGAAAATGTGAAAAAAACATTAGATAGTTATTTAGAAGTCGCTATAATTTCTGGTATCTTCAGCTCCATCCATTATGGTAGTAATTTAGGCTGCGGCTATGAGAAATCGCCATGAATAGTAAAATACCATTCTCTATTCATTATTCGAATATTTTCCCCAGCCCTAAGGGTACGTTTAAATAATATATTGTTTACAACCCAATTTATTTATGATTTCTTATTTTCTTATTCCCAGTACAAAACTTCTACAAAAATTCAGGATCAAAATCTGCTAAGGATTTGAACTTACTAGACCTGAAAAGGGTGAGTTAGGGCATTTTTTGTTGACTTGGTTTTTTTTTTATTCACGATAAATCTGAATCGAAACATTGTAATATTTCATATTAAGTTTAAGCAGGTTTTTTATTGTCATCCAATTTCTCTAACTTATAATTCATGTATGATTTATGATTAAAAGAGTTTTTTTCATAGTAATTGACTAATTATACTTCAAACTCTCATCATAGCATATTCTTATGTTTTATTTCTTAGGTTTGTTGTGCTATTAAATATGCTTTTGATGCAATTTAATTGTAGTGGTAATTGGTGAATTCGACTTTTGTTCAGAGCAACGATTCCCACCCAGCCTTTTTTAACACATTCCCTCCTTTACCCATTTTCAAGCTCTTCATTCTTTCCTTCAGAACTTTTCGAATTAGCATTTTTTGCTCAGAGCTGTATTTATGTCACAATGCATATGTTTATTGTTCAATCATGAATTGATTCTAAGCTAGTAGGTGAAATTTGTAACTTGACTTAACTTTTCTAAAGTTCATTAAATGGTTTATAATATGTACAGTAAGTATTGTAAGTATTACCATATATAAGCAAAATGTATTAGTAACACTACATGCAAATACAAGATAAAATTTCCTTTCTTCGAGTAAAACTTCCTGCCCGGTTGGAAAACTCGGCTTCAGAGCTTTGTTCAGAGTACATAAAACAATATACTCATTATTTGTTGCTATTCCAGGATGTTGTGGATTCCCGTAAGTCAACAGATGAATTAGTTCAAGATGAGGAAAGGGAAGAAGAAGGTCAACATGCCAATATTTATGCTGAATATAAACCAAGCAAATGTACGTTTTTTATTTAACCTTGCTTTAGGCAATACTACTCTCATTAATATCTAGTGTTGGAAAAAAGTTTTCGGGTTTTGCATATTTTTATATACTTTGAAATGTTTGCCAGCAGCAGTAAGCATAAATGTATAAAAATTCGCCAAACGAGGGACTTCACAGCTAGTCAATGATATTAGTAAAAGTAATAATCTATGTTATATGATTGATATACAGTCAATGAGATAGGTTTAATTAAATAGTTTGATATTTATTCTGGCATTCTATCTTACCATTAAATTTTGAATCTTCTAGATAAATTGAAACGTAAGTAAGAAACCTGTGAATTTGAATAGAAAAATACAATAATTTCAATTTTCTGAAATTTGTATAATGTTCTTTGAAGAGACTGGAATGATCAATATTTTAGATACGTTACTTACCGGTATATTGAAATCAAAATCTACACATCACTGAAGTAGTAGGATGTCATCTATTCAAAACAATGAAAAAACACAGATAGTTATTCGAGGGTTCTAAACATTGCAACTTTTTTCACAGTGAATATTGGACTTCCTCATCCTGACAGAGTCGTCGAGACAAGTTCTTTGTCCAGTGTTCCACCTCCAGATATTCATTATAAACTTTCCATTCCTGAAGAAGTGATTGATCAAGGACTATTGTCTGCATTACAACTTGAAACAATAACATATGCTTGTCAAAAACATACAACTTTTCTACCGAGTGGAGAAAGAGCAGGATTCTTAGTAGGTTGGTAATAGAAATATCAAGAATCTTGAAGCAAGAGAGCAATGCTCAATTATATGCAACTAAGCTCAAATGACCCATTGTTGGGAGAATTTTACTGAATATTATATCGGATAATTTAGGATAGCATATTCTCTTTCCTCGAAATAGCAAGTAAATTTGTGAGTTTTCGTCAGATCATAGTCTAACTTCTTTAGACAAAACAAGATATAAATGCGAATATGAAAGATCATAATAATGGTCAATGTAAGTTAATATATTAAATTTCGAAAAATGCTAGGGATGGTCTCGTTCTACCTTGCTGTCAAAATAGATTGATGTAGGTGAAAAGTAGGAAATAAACAAGGAAAAAGGACTTGCAGTTCGGTACACAATATCCTAGTACCCCCTGTATTATATCAGACCCTGGGTAACTTTCAAAATAAATTATTTTTTTAAAACAACTACAACAACCCTAGTGAGAATAACAATAACAACAATTTTGCAAAACAATTCATAGGTTACTGGGCTGGAATATATTTATGTTGTGATGAATGATATCCAATCATTGTACCCAATCACTTAAAGTTAATGAGCACATACTAGTTGTTAGCTTTGTATTATTACCGTAAGTCAAATATTGAGAAAGGTATTTGGATGAATGCAAGAAAAGGAGTGCTCAAATATAAGGTTTTATTATAATTGATAGACTACTCAATCTTAAACACACAGCGTTAATTGAGAACGAACTCGCTATTTCGATCACTGCAAAATCAGCATACATCTTTTGAAATTTTTGATAAATATACATGTCACAGGGAGCTGAAAGAAATGTAAAAAATATACAAATTTCTTGAATTCCTTCAACTAATGGGAAATTTCTGTAAAGTGAAAGTGACTATTTGTACTAGCAACCATGATCCACAGGTCGATCCACAAAACGATTCACAGGTCCATCACTGCGTCTGATAAATTATAATAGCCATATTCTCAATTTCAATATTTCTCATTCTAGGTGATGGTGCAGGTGTGGGAAAAGGAAGAACAGTTGCTGGAATCATTTTTGAAAATTATTTATTGGGAAGGAAAAGAGCGCTTTGGTAAGAATTTGTTTTTTTAATTTTTTCATGGTGAGGCATCCTTTTTTCCCCTAAAAGTTTATCAATTAATTCAAATTTAAACTTACATACCTCAGTAAAAAATTTCAAGCTAAATTTTGAGTTTTCATATTCTGTTTTCAATTTTCAGCTGTTTTGTTATTTGCATAATTGTAACAATCGGCAGTTACACTATAATTACTCAGACATTATATTTCATGTTTTTTTTTATTCACTTGTTAATTTATTTGGTTTTGCTTTGTTCGTTTCGTCTATTTTAATTGTTAATTCCATTATATGTACTTTATGACATCTTGCCTTTCTATCATGATGGTTATTTCATTATATTATATAGGTTTAGTGTATCGAATGATCTGAAATTTGATTCGGAACGAGATCTCAGAGATATTGGTGCCAAAAATATTCATGTTCATATGTTAAATAAGGTAAGTTTAATAGATCAACGGTCAATTTCGTGTATTTTTATTTCTACTGGCCCAATATGGCGATCCTTTTCCTGATGTATAATGCAAGGATGCTGTAGCAAGACCAATGATGACTATTCTGTATAATTCAAAAGTCGTATTGTACACTAACACTAAATATTTCTATAACACAGACCTCAAACAGACAAAATATTACAGAAATAAATTCGTATGTGTGTGCAGCAAGAGTCTTGAATAACATAACATTATGCTAATTATTATCAATTTATGAATCAAAATTTGATCTCAGTTTTATCTATTTTTCGAAAGTTTACAACATTCACGGTTGAAAACATTTTAGACATGATTTCTGGAATACTATACTAAACACCGGTAGTTGTTGTTGTATGTGAATAGAAATGCATATTCCTCTATTTTTAGTTCAAATATGGGAAAATTTCATCGAGAGAAAACAGTTCTGTAAAGAAGGGAGTTATTTTTGCTACGTATTCATCATTAATTGGAGAAAGTCATTTTAACACTAAATATGGAACGAGATTAAAACAAATATTGCATTGGTGTGGAAAAGATTTTGATGGAGTCGTATCCTTTGTTAAAAAAATATCATTTGGATGGAAAAATTTTGGTATTGTTTTCACCATTAGAACACTTTCTTCTTCGAAATTTTTTCCACGTTGTATTAAGGACATTGGACTTGTAACCCAATCTATGAACTATTGGTCATGAACTTATATCACTATATACCCAGGATTACGGTGGGCTCAGCATCATCACCCACAACTTGATGATTCTCGATAACCACCCAGTTTTCTCATTTGACTGCATATAATAATGTGTGACATGTAGTTTATTGTATAGTAAAATATAGATGACAGTGCTTGATAATGAAATACAGTTTGTGTCATTTCAAATCTTGGTTCTACAAGAAACTTCTGTTTTTATTGATTAAAAATTTTTCAGTTTGTTCCATAATCAATTAAAAAATGCCATATTTATGGATAAATCATAATTGCGTTTGTTACCATCAAATGTATTGAAAAAAAATCTGTATTTAAAACCTAATTCTATATACATTTTCAAACACAGGCAGTTTTATTTGAGAATTCTATTTTCAACTACTTTTTGCGCTATAAGAATGACAAAGCAAATTTTTAGTTGCAACGTATAATGAATCAGCATTTATATAAAGTAAATTTGGTGTAAACAATTATATCCTTGACTTCGAGTAATCAGATTATATTTGATGAATGTCACAAAGCCAAAAATTTAATTCCATCTGGTTCAGCTAAACCTACTAAAACTGGATATACTGTTCTTGAACTACAGAAAAGACTGCCAAATGCACGGTAAGATGTTTTTTTTATTCTGAATACTATTGTGATATTTTTATATTTTCAATACAATGATTTCATGTCTCTACTCTAAACACAGCACTGTACAAGCTTACACTGATATGTAAGGAGCAGGGGCAAGTAAGCTCGGACCCCCCCCCCCCCCTTTCGAAATGTAAATTTTTTTTTTATTAGCTTCAAATGCTTTTTTATACCCTCGAGACTCTTGAAACCCCACTTTTTCCACACCCACTAACTATTACGGTATAACTTGGCAATTATAAATTTCCACCCATTCTCTTGAAAAAATTCAGGCTTATGCCCCTCTGCCATCATTTTTACAGTTTGATATTGCCAATCGAATTCATTATACCCTGTCTGGTGGGCATGGGGTTTGAATCAAGGTTTTTATCCTGAGATAAATAGATAACTATTTATTGACTCGAAAAATATAGTTGATTTATGGTTGAAAAAGGTCTCACAAATGCTAGTGTGTGTGATCAATTTGTTGGGCGATGCCAATCTAGATTTATTCCTGTGTAAGAAATCTGTGACCTGTTGTAGAGTATTTGAGATAGACTCATATATGGCATGCTCTCGTAACAATTTCTATGTTTTGTATGTTCGTTGCTTAAAAATGATTGCGCTTTATTTCATTTAGTGTTATCTATGCAAGCGCTACAGGGGCTTCTGAACCTCGCAATATGGCGTATATGTCGCGAATAGGCCTGTGGGGACATGGTACACCTTTCACTGATTTCATGAATTTCATTCAGGTAAACGCAACAATTTATTCTATCGTTAGTTCATTCGTTATTCGTTTATTTATTTATCCCGAAATTCGAAAAATTTGTATGTTTTGAGCACGGTTTCATTGTAATTTGTTTTCTTGCTCAAAGCCTTGTTTAGAGCAAGCCAATGGTTTAATATCATTGTTCATTGTCTTGTCACTAATGAATTTACAAGGAATTGGCAAAATGGACAGCAAAAATGTATTTCAATTTTATTTCTAATTGCTCGTGATCATGTATGTAAGAATTTTACCAAATAATAAAGCATTGAATTTGAATCTGAGCTGTGTAATCGGCGATGCTAACACAGTTAATTAAGTCTTAACAATTCAACCTCTTGTCCACTAATTGTCCAATAATATTTATTTTAAAGGCTGTTGAAAGGCGAGGTGTTGGGGCAATGGAATTGGTTGCCATGGATTTAAAATCTAGAGGAGCTTACATTGCTAGGCAGCTCAGTTTCCATGGAGTATCATTTCGTATTAAGGAAGTGCAATTGACAAGAAAGTTTATAAAAATGTACAATGATGCTGTTCGATTGGTAGGTTTTTGTATAGAAAGTGAATCTGTGGTAAATTTACTCTTTAGTTTTAGTGTGATCTCTGTCAAAATTTTGCTGGTTTTTATAGTTTATGAACACGACTTCGTAAGACATTCAGTACACTTTTGTATGACTTCTGGTACAATTCTCTCACTTTTAATGTTTGGTTGAAACTTTGCTCTGACATTGCGTTGGCCAAAATTGTCATTAATTTGTGTCCCAATATTGCTCTCTTGTTGCCTTAACTCCTACTACATTTGATCCTACTACATCCGCACAGGGTAATCAGACCAGCTTATTCCTAATGCTAAGCGCAATGCACCATCTTCATGGGGTGCTTCGGTGTTGAAATACTCCGGAATTTTTTTTTGTTTATCAGATATCTTTTGTTGTTTGTATAACATACAATGTAAATGCTATTTTCGAAAGTCAATAAATTATTTTTTTCAGTGGGTTGCTGCGAGAGAAGCATTTCAAGTCGCTGCTGGTCTCATTGATGCGGAACATCACATGAAAAAAACAATGTGGGGTCAATTTTGGGCAGCACATCAACGATTTTTCAAATATCTATGCATCGCTGCCAAGGTATTGACTATACTATTTTGATATAATTTATTATAGCATGCTCTTTATGGGGTTTGAACCCACTCTCACCTTTAGCCTGTGATATTGGTCATTAATTGAGCGGGCCTTCCTTGTTTTAGGTTGATCATGCCTCACAACTTGCTAGGGAAGCTGTTAAACATGGAAAATGTGTTGTCATTGGATTACAATCTACTGGGGAAGCAAGAACATTGGACATGCTGGAAAAATGTGGAGGAGAATTAGAAGACTTTGTTTCTACTGCCAAGTGAGAAATTGACAATTTTTAAATATGATTTCATATTTGAATAGTTTGTTGTTTTAGAATCTTCCAGTTGCGATTAATTTGATTAGAAGTATTTATGCAGCAAAATATGAAAAATATTACATAACACATTCATGTTGCAATGGTGAAAGTTACATAGACTAGTGATAATTAACGTAGCTGAAATCTTAGCTTACAATTCAAGCGCTTCAATAACCAAAAAGGCGTAACCTGGAAAATCTGTTTTGAGAAATTGAGTGAGAATTTATATTTTTGATTTTCAAACTCATGTAACATATTATTTAAATACCTTAATTAATATTACAACTATGATTAAGTACTTGCTTGTAATACTTTCAAATCGAACCTCATTTTCACCCTTTTGTCTTAAAACCCTCAAACGTCTAAATTCTGTTTCATTAAAATTTTCAGTTTTATGTAAAAAGCAGGTTTTATTGCTAATCTCCATATGCATTAGTTTATTCAATAATTCTAGTTTTATTCTGGTTTTAATTTTTCTCAATAGAATATCGTAATCAATATTCTGGTTTCAGTTTAAATTTTCATTCATATATTTTTTCCATCCAGAGGTGTTTTTGAAAATTTGATTGAAAACCATTTTCCTGCGCCAGATCGAAAAAGAGTGACTGACTTGTTCGGTAAAGATTTTTATAAAAAGGATGATAACGCATCGGAAGATGGAAATTCACAAAAACAAAATAATGCAAAAAGAAAAAATGCTACTAATAATAAGGTAGGCTTAGTCATACGAAATACCAGTTACGGCAGTTAGACATTGTTGAATGATAATGCGAGAGCATTAGAAAAGGTAAATTTTTCTTGGTTTGAGAATAAAATTTAACCAAAAATTAGATAAAATTATTATTTTGTGGATATTTTACTATAATATTTATTTAAATTTCATCAATTTGTAGTCCAACGAACCTGTGTCCAAGAAAATTCGTTCATCGGTAACCAATGACAATGATGACTCAGCATCTTCTGATGAAGAAAATTATGATTCCGCAAAATTTTCGGGTGTTGATTCAGATGCATCTATTGATTATAGTGATGAAGATATCGGAAAAATATTTGGAGGAGGCTCGGATAGTGATGGTATCAAATATAGATATATACTTTATTTTTTATTTATTTAACAAGTGGACTTTAACATGTCATGTTTTATGTCATGGGTATTCCTTAAAATAACGGCGCTCCAGAAGTATGTATAATTTTGTTCGCCTGTTTTACATCAAGTTGTGAAAAGGGACGGAAACCTATGGGCATGGGGTATATTCACTTGGCTAACATAGACAGTCCTTAGAAACTCGTAATAGAAATAAAATAAGAAAAATCTGAATAAAATTATAGCCTAACCCTAACCTGGTACACATAGGCCTACTACGGGAGTACCAAAATAACTTTGCTCATTTGACTAATTGGTATTCCTGAAGTATGCGCACCAAGATGTCGCATAACCCGAACCCTAACCTGGTACACAACCTGAGTTCCGGTTGTGTGCCATCTTGGTGCGCATACTTCAGGACTAATTTAATATAAACTTGAATTTCCTTACCCTTCACCTCATTCAGGGTGTAATAAATTGAATAGGCAATGGCGTATTTCAAAAGCCGTAGCTAGTGGAAGTTTGTACATGGCCTTGTTTGGAGCAAAGGGGGGGAAATAAGAATCGCATGTAAAATTTCCATATTTTTTCAATCTTTACCGATTTTATTTTGAAATTTTTTGAAAAATAGAATGGGGAGGAGATGCAGAAGAATCTCGAAAGAAAAAGCTGAAAAAGAAGAACAAAAAGAAAGGATCGGATATGGATGAAGAAGCAGATCGATTACTGGAAGAAGCAGGATTAAAAAATGGACCTTCAAACCATTCTAACGAAATAAAAACTAAAACAAATGAATCTGAACAAACTAATCTCACTGCCTATGTTAATTCAGAGAATACGGAAGATTTGGGTGAGTTTACCAAAATTTTACAATATCACTTTTATTATTGAATGAGGTCTAGTTAATTTTTCACTCATGTAAAGGCTTAATTTTTATTGTAGTTTGTATATTGTTAGTAAATATGAGGAGCATATTATCTATTTGTGTTCTTTTCCAAAATATAGAATAGGGAAGAAGGTATTCAGACTTTCTCAAACTTTCATGATCTGTTGGCCACCTTTCAAATACTCCAAACAGTCTGTGGCCCCCTTCCAAAGACTCCATGGCCCCCTGCTCGTCAATAAAAAAAATTAGTCTTGTTTTTACTGGGTTTTCATTAATTATTTTATTGAACAAGTTCAATGATGACAAAATGAAATTAATAAATAAGTGCATTTCAGTCAAATCATCACAGTTAATTTTCTTTAAATTGATGTAACCGTGGCGAATGGTATATAGTAAAGGCATTTGTTTGAGGGCCGCCCAGTTTGAGAAACTCTGGTGTAACTGTTAGGAAGATTCTTAATACAACCAAATACTCCGAACCAAGTTAAATAGCAAGATAACATTATACACGTCGAAGACTATTTGTAGCAGACAATGTGCACCACCACTAAAACATATTAGGCAAAATAATATATCACAATAACAGCCTTTTCAAGTTCAATTAAATCAAGTTTCTAAATGAAAGCATTTTAATTTTGATTTAAAGTATATTTCACACTATTTTTGGATAACATATTAATTGTACCATGCTACCTATATACATTATTCATTCTTTATTTGTTGAAAATAAATATGTTGTTGCAGGACTTGAAAGTCTTAAATTGTCTGGGCAAAATCCAGTTGCAAAAGCACAAGCACTTAAAAAAGAATTGTTAAGAAAACTCGATTCTGTTGAATTACCAAATAATACACTAGATGAATTGATTGATGCTCTTGGAGGACCAGAAAATGTTGCTGAGGTTTGTTGTGAAAAAACTTTCATGGTGCAAATACCAGTTTTCCATTTTCAATTTTCTCATTAATAGAAGAAATAAATATCTTCAGAATTGTAAAGTTTTATTTCGAAATGAAATTGATTTTACTCCCACACTGTCATTTTCACTTTAATTGTCAATACTGAAGCTTGGCGGTTGGTGCGTCATGCCCGTTAGGAACACCGTGCCATCACATCTCTGATTACAGTGTGCAGGTTCATCATCTAGTGGGAGATAATCGAGTTCTAGAGGATTGCTGAACTTCTTGTTGTCGTAGGAAGGTTTACACAACCTCTCGCTGTCGTAGGGTACGGTAGTTTATATAACGCTAGTCCGTTACGATTTCCCCCACTATCAAGTCATCGCATCTGAAACAAATAACTGGTAAACTATAACTGTCCTCAACATGGATTGTTAATTGGGCGAGTGACTGCCATATGATTGAGCTGTTATATGGCTTTCCTCTCCATCAGGATAAATATGAAAATCCTATATTCGACGTTGCCTCTCCTGACTTCCCTTCTTAATTTGGTAATTGGGTTTATTGATAAATTCAAATTATTATGAAATGGCAATTTTTTTCGCGTTGTTTTATAATATGACGGATAGGATTATACTGGGTATTCGTAAACATGATGAAAAATTCGTTTTTTAATCATTTCTATTTTCTTAAATACCTAGATGACTGGAAGAAAAGGTAGAGTGGTGGCAACGGAAGAAGGAAACATTCAATATGAATCTAGAACTGAAAATGATGTGCGATGTAATATGCTTAATTTGGCAGAAAAACAGGTATGTTGTTTAATAATATACAATGTGAACTTCACATAAATAACATCTCTATCTGAGGAATATATCTTCGTTTTTTGCAAGCATTCAGTGATACTGTTTTTGGGTAGACCGGAATCTTTCTTGTTTGGAATTACCTACTAAATTTACTACACCCCAAGTGAGGAATGAGATTAAAATCGAGATGCCTCTCCTGCAATGAATTGTTAGGACATCACGCTTGGCTAATTTATATCCAGATAAGGTTAAAATCATATTATCCTTTTTTTCATGAAGCATTTTTGTGGAATTTTTATCATCTCTATTTACTTATATATGTATTGGCTTATCAACTCATTATTTTTATTTCGTAAACTGCATTTCAGAAGGTAAGGTGACCCTAATCGGGCACACACTGGCCATATTTCGCTGACCCTAATTGGACATGCACTGACCATATTTCACTGACCTGATTGGACATGTACTGGCTGTTTGTGGAGTTTCTGCATTCTCTCTATGTAATTATATATGTATTGACTTACTAATTCAATATTTTTATTTTGTGAACTGCATTTCAGAGGTTCATGGATGGTGAGAAAAATATTGCAATTATTAGTGAAGCTGCAAGTTCTGGAATTTCATTACAATCAGATCGCAGAGCTCGAAATCAACGTCGAAGACTTCATTTAACTCTGGAGCTTCCATGGAGTGCTGATCGAGCTATTCAACAATTCGGCAAGTATTCTGTAAAATTCAGGCACAAAAATCACATGTTCTATGTCTACAAATTGGCTTTTAGTGGGACTTTATGCTTATCTTACATTGATATGCAGATAATGCATGAATCATTTAGGAGACAGGGTGATGCAATGTTCTGGCGGTTAAATCATTTGACTTTACCTGTGTTGGCATCGCAGATTACACATCTCTGATTCAAATCTCACGCCCTATGCGTCATTCATGACATATTAAATTGGGTAGGCAATAGTGAACCAGAAAGACTCTATTCTTCCTGATAATAGTAGCTCTACTTGTATATAGGGTGCAGAGCCAAAGGCGTGAAATATCATTGTTTAAAGTAAATAGTAAAGATGACTATTCTAAGTGATTCAATAAACTTACTGCACACTAACACAAATGTAATTAATGCTGTATGTCAGCGGTTCCCAACCTGGGGCCTGGGGCCATAGCGCAGCTGGTTTGGGCCCCAATGCTAGGCGCAAAAGTTATTTCACTTACCACGACAGGAAAACCCATTCTTCCAAGTTTCATTGCTTGATGAGGTTATTTCACAGGTTGTTTTTACTTTGTTGAGCATGAATTGTTTTAACATAATATGATTTGGAATCTGCCAATCAAAATACCACTATAAATACCATGAGAATGATAAATAAGGGGTCCATGAGTGCTAAAAGCATCCAGAAGGGGGTCTCAAGCCAGTATGTTGTCTTTGTTTATGAAAAGTTGAATTTTCCCAAGCATACTTGATTCAATTACGGTAGTTTTTTTTTCCGTTGCTTATGTTTATGTTATGCTTCTCTTCAGGTCGAACACATCGTTCCAATCAAGTGAATGCTCCTGAATATGTTTTCTTAATTTCTGAACTCGCCGGTGAACAGAGATTTGCTTCAGTTGTTGCAAAACGTTTGGAAAGTTTGGTGAGTGGATTTGAATTGAACTCTTAATAATTTGTTTGTTCACAAAATGACAAAATTTGACAGACATGTTCAAAAATACAATTAAGTTAAAAAAAGTTCTATGATAAATTTTACAGAAAGTATCGTATTTCACGGACCATGGGGAGCTCCTCAAATTCCCTATTTAAATAATATAATTGTTTCTACAGAACTAAAAATATAAAGGTTGGTATTGGACATCATTTTCAAATGTTACAATAAAAATTACCGAATCCTAGATATTAATCCATTAATATTTCCCAATTCTTTTTTAACTTTATTTTTTAATTTCAGGGAGCGTTGACTCATGGTGATCGTCGCGCCACGGAAACAAGAGATTTATCCCAATATAATTTTGATAATAAATTTGGAAGATTAGCACTAGATTCTGTAATGAAATCAGTTGCAAGTTTAGATGTTCCTATTGTACATCCACCTGCCACTTATCCTGGACTGTTCTTTAGAGGTCAGTATAGATTAGACACTCGGAATATGCATGTTTAGGTTGCAGGGATCGTTTGTCCATTGTATTGTACTTCGTTGTATTAGAAATACAGTAATGTAATGGATTTTCTTTGTTCTTGTAGCTTTTAATTTCCACAGCGCTGGCATTATGAAAATCCTATTAGGGACACTGTAATCAAACGTCCTATTAGGGACACTGTAATCAAGACACTGTAATCAAACGTCCTATTAGGGACACTGTAATCAAACGTCCTATTAGGGACACTGTAATCAAACGTCCTATTAGGGACACTGTAAGCAAACGTCCTATTAGGGACACTGTAATCAAACGTCCTATTAGGGACACTGTAATCAAACGTCCTATTAGGGACACTGTAATCAAACATGCACAGGACTGTATTTCGCTGACCCTGATTAATTATGACTGCACATTTTGGAAATTTCGCTTTTTACTGTAAAATATATTTTCAGCCTGTGATCAGTAACAATATGTTATTCCCTTTTTATGCTTACCTAATCAATAGTTTATTATCTTTTTATTTCAGATATCAGAAGAGCTATGGTTGGTGTTGGTCTCATCTCTGTAGAATCATCCGGGGCGCCACCTCAATTAGAAAAAGGTAAACACAGTAAATAATTATAAAATTAAATAACTTCGCACATTACTGCTAAGCGTTAGAAATGTGCACACCATCGCATCTCTGATTACCCTTCGGAGGTTTTCAGGTCCTAATACCGTGGGGGATAATTATGTGCGAGAGGTGTGCTCACTATGGTAGGGTTGTTCACATAATCGCTGGTCAATTACGTTTTCCTCCACCATCATGTCCATGCATCTGAAACAAGAAACTGTCTAACTAATCCCAAACCCGGAATAGACTAGTAACTGGATGCGAGTCCCTGTTACACCATACGATTAGGATGCTTTATCAGCTTTTCTCTCTCCCGGGATAAATATCTACACTCCTTTTCTATCTTAATTGCTAAGTTCTTTGTTGCATCGATATTATGATAGTTACTATTATATAAATGAAGATAAAGAAAGTGTAACTTTGTATTGAACTTGGTCCTAATTTTTTATAATTATTTTGTCTTTTTTGTGGGACTAGATTGGGAAATATGTTTCTTCTCTATTTCAGAATATAATAACATTGTTAAGTTCATGAACCGTATACTTGGAATGGAAGTTTTACAACAAAATGCTGTTTTTCAATTTTTTTCCGATACATTATCTAATATCGTTCAAAAAGCAAAAACTCACGGACAATTTGATCAAGGAATTATGGGTAAGATTATGACATATTGTTTTTATTTTCTTAGGTAAATGATTGCCATATTTGGCATTTAGGCACTGCTCTATAATCCATTGTAATGGAATGAAAGAGCATTTTTAGCAATTGGAACTCATTTGAAGAAATAATTTTGATATAACCAATATATATGAAGTTATGGTCGAGTATTTGGGATGATTTTTAAAACATGGATAATGGATAGGTTTTACCGTCTATTCGTTGAGATTTTGTAGTTATCACATATTTGTTGTATTGTTTTCTTACGAAAATTTCTGTGGGCTTCATGGGATTCGTTTTTTGTGTACGATGACATCGTCAAAAATTTTGCACCTTGTATCGGTTCTGCGTTTATGTTATTCTTGGAGGCTGCAGTACTGGTAGTCTAATGTTAGAAATTGCAAACCCATACCACTTCATTTTGGTCTTTGTGTCCATATATTTGATCATCGCTCTCCTTCCTATCTATTCGTTATGATAATGTAGTTTCATATGTAGAGTTCGTCTTGAATTGTTTTCCCGCTTTTTCCTCTGACCAAGGATTCAAACAGCCAATAAAATGTAAGGGAGTATTTGTAGTTGAACCAAGACTGTACTGTCTATATGTTCCTGACAGATGTTGGATCTCGAGATGATTGTGTCGAACGAGTCGATTGCAAACGATTTCAATTGAACGCCTATTCTGGTACCGGCGACAAACCAACAGCTGCACAGAAAGCTGGCAGCGGTTATGTTGAATTACACACTGTGAAAATTGAACGTGGGATGTCATGGGATGATGCTGAGAATGCGTGGTCTCAGCTTTCAAGTGAAAACGAAGATGGATTTTATGTCACACATTTGGTATGTATATGGATGTTGATGAGCTTTTGTATTTGAGTAGTTTTTTTTTTTATATGCTGTTTGCTCAGAACAAGGCCCCACATAAGCAGCCATTGCTTGGTAATGAACTTGTAGTTTTTGGAGGTTTATTATACCTTGGGTGAGGTGGTGGGCCTGGGATTCGAACCCAAGATTTCAACCTGTGATGCCATCATAATTAGCCTAACGCTTCACCTACATAGCCACCATTGTCTTGAAAAACCATGTATTAAGTCATCATACCCACATTAATGCTAGTAGCAATAGCATTCACAAATCATAACCTTTTTTTTTCATTTCAGAAAAGGAATGGCCGATGTATGGCTGTCTTGTGTTTTGAAAATCAACTTAAATCCCGCAAACAACAATCATATAATGATGAAGATTCAGAAAAATTATCTGATGAATTCCGCCTGTTTACGCTACATCGACCTAATATGGGGAAACAAGTCAAAAGAGAAACACTTGCCACAATTCGATCACGATACAGAAAAGTGGAACCTGGTGAAGCGAAGATTTGGTGGGAAAAACAATACAAAGCATCGTTAGATATTTGTTCCCATGCGTACTGGTATGTATTTTCCTATTATAATTGTAGGATAAAACAAAAAATTCTGTCACAGATTCAAGCTTATACATAAAAGTTCATTCACCTCTTTCACTCCGAACATGGCCTTGTACAAGCAACCACTTATAGAGGGATCTACTATCTTTCCAGGGCCAGAATCTTTATAGTTTGACATTGCTTGCCCGATTACTACAATCGGGTTGAGGTGGTGGGCGTGGGATTCGAACTTGAGATATGTAACCTTTGATGCCCCATTTTAATTCAAAGCACTAATGATAGAAACGAATACATTGCATTTGTGGCATAAGATTGAAGTATTCTAGTGACCACAAATACTATTCCCCATGCACATACCCCACAGTGTTGAATAGGATTCAAGCACTGATAATAATATGGATATACCATTTACCATCATTTGGTTCAATTTGAAGTGTCAATTACCCTTTTCTCTGTACGCAGGCAAGGGGTTTGTCATCGTCAAGTTCAAAGAGTTCCATGTGGTATTGGGAAGCGCCGACGTACTTATCATGTTTTGTCTGGTTCTGTACTTGCTATATGGAGATTGATAGAAAAAGTTTTATCGTCTGGGATGACGACACTATATAAAATGCAAATTGTCAGATTAAAAACAGAAGATGGAAAGTTAGTTGGTAAGTCTGGAGAATTTCAATATATCATTTTAAATACAGATAGTAAACTACGTTTATCTGTCATAATTTATTTATTTTATTTTTTTTTAAATTTATCTGTAATCAACTTTATTCAAAGTAATACAGTAATAAGATTTGAAATTTTAATTCTTTTGTATCGAACTACCAACAACAGGTTCTCTCTTTCCAGAAGAAAATTATAAATGTATAACAATACAAGAGCATAACATAAAATTACATGATAAAAAAAATGTATTTAAACTGTAAATGTATGTAAATTAACATGACTCGCTTTGCATAAATCCAATACAAAACTTTACAAATGTATAGCACTAGTCGTAAGCTGCGGTTGTCTAACGACCCTAAAAAACAAGGAGGGGCATTCCCTTGATTTCATATTTCAAGAATGAGAACCCTGGAATCCCATTACTGTTAGCATATCAATTCAAAAATATTTCAATATAAATTGTGAATAAGTAGTAGGACTGAAATCAACTTGATACTAAAGTTTGATAGGTATCATAGGCTTCAGTGGAATTCTATATCATGTCAAATGTGAAAATGGCCTCCGTTAGAAATTTCGGGGCTCCCGAAGTATGCTAACCAAGATGGCGGACATCGGAATGTAATATGTGTACTAGGTTAGGGTTAGGCCATAATTTTAGGTATAAATACTACGGGAGGCTCTTGGCTAGTCTTCAAACTGATAATAGGACTAAAATAAGGAAAATTGGAAAAAAATTATCGCCTAACCCTAACCTGTTACCCATGTTACGTTCCGATGTCCGGCATCTTGGTTCGCATACTTCGGGAGCACCGAAATTACCAATAATGCCATTGAATTTGAAAAGTTTGGATCCGGGTCTGAAATTTTAACTTCGACTCTGTCAGAGTCTAACAAGACATTAAATTGCATTGTTAAATTGATTTGGAATCTCAACTTAAAATAGAATTCCTACCCCTGACGCACGAGATAAAAAAATTTAAAAAGACTAAAGTTTCACTCGACTCCAATACTTTTACATACAACAAATTCAAAGAATTGACCCTACAGCTGAGTTGCCTGCCGCCTTGCTTATTATCTTCAAACACCAATAATATTAAAAAGTGATTTCATTCTATTTCGCAGGTTTGTTGATTCCATCGAGCTGTGTTGAACAATTAACCAAACATCTTCAGAATCCTGATCATCTTTTAAATCCTGTTCAACAACTAGGAAATCATGCACTAATACGAACTGCATCCACACCAGTGTTTTCTGCAAATAATTTTGATGATGTAAGATGTTTGCGCATAGCATTTTCAGATATAGTCTTTCATGTAATAGTTATTCAAATTTAAAGTGTCTAACCAGTAAAAATCAATTATAAACAAATTTCAAAATAAATATATAATCACAGTTTTACTGGGAAATGGAATCTGTGGACAATCAAAGTATGTTATTGAGCAGCAAACCCAAGGTTCTAATAGTGTTGGACAATTTCATACTTTTTATGAGGGGTATGGACAAGTACACATTTACATGTAATAGCTAATATGTATATAGGAGAACTGTAATCTTTTCTGTTTGAGCATCCAATTTATTCACTCTCTGCACATAAGGGCATTGGTATGGGATTTGAAACTGAGATCTTTAAAATGCAGACCAACTCAGTTTGAATAAACATATCAACCTAAAGAAAAATGTCAATGTATTATACCTCAACTATTTTTGAAATTCTTATTTTTGATATGCAGGAAGATGAATTCATTGAAGATGACAACAGTGATATAGAAGATGACGACGATTTTTCACCAGATGATATGGTTTCATCTGTTTTAGCTCCAGGCAATACTTGGTATCGGTAACTGCTACAAATATACTGCAATACCAATTGTAAAGCTGTAGAATGTGAAAATCATGCTCCCAGATGGTGGTTTATGTGAACAGATACCTCTGATTGTGGAGATTGATAGGTGGTTTATGTGATCAGATACCTCTGATTGTGGAGATTGATAGGTAAATTGTGAAAAACAGGTTTAAACGTGTTCGAACAGGTTTTGAACTTGATCACAAAATAGCAAAGACGAATGACTCATGCCAGAAGCTCAGCCGGTAGAAGCAACCTGAAATACTTTGTAACGCTGCTGTGTACTATTGAACCTAGCTACTGCAAAATCAGACCGTGTGCTATAGAAAATTGATAAGTGCCTAATGTCCTTTGTTTAGGCTTAACATTGTCACATTCCTTAACTTTTTTACTGTTGCTGCTCCTTTTGAACATTTCAAATATTACATTCCTGAGTTTCAATGCATACTTGGAAACAATTCTTTTAAAAATTGGTTTTTCAAAATGGTCGCAGTGACTGCTATATCATGGATATTTTTATGACATGTCCCACATCTTCGCTATCAGCCAGGTCCTTACAACCAATTCACAAGCTATTATGTTTTTGAAAAGGCTGTAATATTCATGGTTTTCAAAAATCCTACCGATTTTGTTGCACTTTGGGTATTGGGCTCTAACCTTAGCTGCCTTAGCAGTGATCATAATATATGCTGATTTCACATTTGTATTTCCTTCAAATATCTGTGAAACTTCGTCAAATATGGGTTTTATATATAACATGAAAAGATTGTGTTTGAAAGTGTTGGTTTGACGAAAGCCAAAATTCCACTTCTCGCGTATTCACTCAACATCCATAGAATATATATATTCTGGCACCTGCTCAGTTATGTATGTAGTACTTATAACATGGTGTAAATTTTACTATTTCAATTCATTAAGCATTTCCCACTGTTTTGTTTTGCTCGCATGGGTAAACTTTTGCCTGTACTATTCACTTCTCCAATTTTTTTTTTAATTTCGTTTGCCAGTTGAAAAATACATGCAATGTCTTTATATTGTCTTATATGCATTGCTTTGTGACAAGGAAAAAAATTTTCGATCTTGTGGGGAAATGTTAGCTTTAACAAAACTTTATTGGTAACATCGACATGGGATATTATAGTCTACTACTAATAAGCTGTGTTACATCTTCGGCTCTTGCACAACAATTACAGGAGAGTCAATATTTTCGTCTGTGCTATGATTTGCCTGTCTTGAAGATCGTTAATTGAATTAGTTTCTTTTCCTCTTCGTGGCGAAATCAGCGTCGCCAACACTAAATATTTTTGATATTGTGAGTGTGTGACTATGATTGCATGTGAACGCAAGCCTCTGTTGCACCTTTTTCAATTTCTTTTATCTGAGTTCATTTTTATTTCGAAATAAACACAATCTGCCGAAGGTATTGAATGCAATTATTGTGACTTTTTGAACCTTTTACCGGCCGTGGATTGTAGATTTTTCCCAACAGAAAGATAGATTAAGCTGAAAAGGCGTTTCTTGACAGTTTTAAACGCCACGACTTATAAAGTGACATTTCAGAGCCACTGTTTAATAATTTCAAGATCACCCTATTAGTGCGAGGAGATTTGAGTAAGTGCAGTCTCGAGAAGGCTTTGCGAAAACCGTTTAGCGGTTGTTATTTTTTCATGTTGATCTCCCAAAGAGAAAATTGAACCTGGGAGAGAATGGTAGCCTCAGAATACGGCCCATCCGGAAATTGCACATAAGACACCCTCAAGGAATCGTAATCTGCGTTTTGTGTCCAGTCACATTTATTAGTCAGTTACATAAGTTTCTGATTCGCGCTATGGATACTTCTGATAAATTAATCCTGGACGTGGTGTGATGATGTGTTGTATTTGCATTTCGAGCAACAGAATTCAAAATTTGAAAAATCGGGAAAATGATGAAGACCAGCGTTTCTCGGTCCAAGAGGATTTTTTGTGAATATAACCGTAAATATATACTACATATAACTTTGTATTCGTTGAAGTTGTATATAGAGTTTGGAACTACTGCACTATGTTTTGATTTGTATATCAAGGTTGGAGAACGAGTTACATCTTGAGAAAAAGAGGGTAGGGTGACTAAATATCGGAACCGAATAAACAAATCGTGGCCAATTAACGGCCGACACGACCTAGGCGTCGATATATCATGAAATTTTCGGCAAAATTTTTGATACTTGTTTTGAGAGTGTTAACGTGTTCAAATCCATTATTGTCATTAAAAACATTCAACTACGTGTCGCCTGCAGGTACTGATTGCTGATTAAAGCACTTGGATTACTGCAACTGCAGGTAGACATAATGACAATTAACGTACCGTATTTAACTAATTTTTCGGAAATACAACTGAAAACTGACGAATAACACGTAAAATTACAACCGTGCTTGAATATCTGTCTGAAAGACTGCACAAATTTTAATTGTTACGTCATTGTTGACTTATTGCTGATTGATCATTAGTGCGGAAATAAACCAGTGCAATATATCGTTCAAGATTGACAGGTGAGGTCATACCATTTTGCTCAACTCTGTGGTGTCGTGGCCAACAATTTCTCGTAAGTCAGTAAAGTACGGTACCGGTATCTGATTGCACTTTGGTAATCATACCTTTAACGTTTTTAAAATTTGAAATAAAGTGGTAAAATTACAAATATTTAGCCTACTAGATTACCGTATATTGTATATTACTACGGTTACTATTAAAAATAGAATACCGGTACCGTACCCGTACAGAAATATGATTCGATATTCAAGCAAGTGAATCATCAGATTATAAGTAAGTATAAGTTTAGTATTCTGAATTACCAATCCAGCTTGCGCGTCAGTGACATTTTTTAAAATTAGCAGTTGGCAATTCTATTCTATCAGCATTTGGGTGAAAAAACAATAAAATCAATGACTGAATGAAGAAACATTTTCACTAGATCTAGGCTATATGAAAGCTGATGGCAGGATGAATGGTACCAAGAAAGCTAAAATAGACAAAATTGCCATTTCAATAAAGTTATTTAAACATAACAAAGTCTAAAAGTGTCATTTCTAAAATACCGGTACCGACTTTTAAGTTCCAACTTCCATATTTCTAGCAGACTTTACTTGTTTTATGCTTCTAAACCAGTAAACTGTCTGAAAGCATTTTGTTTCAATTTTCATGATTTCAACATGCTATTCTGTGATGAATTTTTCAGATTTTGTCGTAATTTTTAGACTATGGCAAGAGGTGCAGGCGTGATTCGTGTTTTACTGATAATATTTGTTTTGGGATTATCATGGTACACGATACAACTGTATGCAAATTTACTGGGATTTACAAAATCCTCAGACGTAGAAGAAAAAAAGGAAGAACCAATTAAAAAGGAGGTTCAAATTGCCGATAAGAAAGTAGAAGACCCAGATTTGTTGATTGATAATGCAATTATAAAAGCAGCGGAAGAGCAATGGGATGATACCGAAAAAAAAGTTCAAGTGCCTAAGGAATTAACACAATTTAAATGTGAAATGACAACAGGATGTTCAGATTCAGAGTTCACTTTTCGCATTGCTACTGGTGCTGCCAATGTCATCGGCCCTTCAATTTGTTTTAATGGAAAATGGGTAATGAAAAATGCTTTGAACAATGTTGACAGGGGAATGAATATTGCTGTCGTTAACGGAAAAAATGGGGAGACTATAAGGCAAGGAGTATTTGACTTATATGGTAAAGATAGCACTGAAGTAAAGGAATTTGTTAAAAAGGTTGAAGAAGATGAACTAGTTCTTATAACCACATATGATGATGCAGCATTTAAGCTTGACGATGAAGCAAGGGGATTATTTAAGGATCTCGGAAGCGAAAAAGCTAATACACTTGCCTTTAGAGACAACTGGGTATTTGTAGGAGGCAAAAAACTAAAACATCCATCTGATTTCGAACAAATTATGGTGAATGATAAAAATAAAAACAAATTTGGTGATTGGCCTGAAGCAATATCACTTGAAGGCTGTATACCCAAGTTATAAAACCGAAATAAAGTATAATGTAATACAAATTATTATAAAATAATCATAGTAAGTCACCAAATATATCTAAATGTTTCCTGACACAACAATCATTCATTACAACTCTCTGACAAAGGAAAATCGCTCACTGAAGAAGACAATATTGGAGAGAGTATTGTAATGTGAAGAAAAGCCTAATAAAATTTGGATGTGTTCTACTGCAGAGATAATTTCATGTAGGCCTATTACCCTTATAAGTTCGCAGTGTTTATTTTCATGGAGAACCAAATTTCTTTGTTGTAATATTGTTTGGAATTCAAAAATTATCTTATAAGTTGTAACAATTAGCAAAAACTGTAATCTTATTTTTTAAATTTTGTGTCCTCCACTTTTGACCTGTAAACTCATTTTTATCAATTTCAGTTTCTGTCATTATCTAAAATATGATGTGATACGACTGGCACTGAACGGTTGTTTATCCTTTCCTAGTGGAAGTGAACTTTTATTTTTATATCTGATTATTAATAACCAACTGTACAATTTTATTCTTGTTGTTTCTATTATATTACCATAATTATTTTCGCTTGAAGTAAAACTACAATTGAACCTGTTATTTATTCGTGTTTGCTGAACGACGTGATAATCCAGATCTCAATAACTGTCTGCATTATTTTGTGGGATACTTGTTGTAATCCCTACTGCAGTTAATGTCTGGAGTTTGAAGCAATTTCAAAATGTTACATTTCGTGAATATCTTTAGCTAGTTGCTGAAATCAATTATATGCGGGAGTAATCCAAACAATTTAATTTTTTTAATCTTGTATTCAATTTCTCAGTGATATTCACTGCAATATTTTTTTATCTCTGTGGCAGTCTTTATGACAAAATAATATTATATTGTGCTGTAGTAGAGGTACAAGTAGATTTCCATTGCGATAGATTTGATTAATTTGGAACCTTATTAATCAATCTGGTCTTCTGTAAAATGTGAATGTATTCATGATTCGATTGTACAAGTACCGGTAACTGTTTTCATTCAAAATTCTTTTTAATATGAGCTCTTTCGATTAAATTTATTATAAATATTATTATTATTTTTTTGTTCATATGTGTAAATTTCCTGATAAGTATATATATATATCTACATTTAAACCTTTTGCCTGGCAAGTTAGTAAAGCAGAATTCTGAATGTGATAATTTTGTTTATTTCAAATTGATACATATATGTAGTCTGGTTCATTCAACATCCAGGGATGTCAGAGATTGATACTGTCAAAAAAATTTAAGATTTTAATAACGTTGATGACAGTTCATTTTTCCATGGAATTTGTAAAATAATGTTTTTCAAAGTTTGAAATAAAGGAAGTTCCTGAAAGACAAAATTTGGGGATATCAAACCATTCAGATGAGATCCTTGTTTCTTACTATGCTCTTAGTTCAGTTTCATAGATTACATTTTTCCACTGTTGCTTTTCACTACTATTTGTATACCTGTGCTTTCAATGTACCTGTCTGTACCTTTGTTTCAATCAAAGGAAATCGTAACTTTTTTACCTTTGTATTGTCGTTTTCAATTTCTATTGCATCATTTCAGCTTTCCATATTTACTTTTATTGAGATGTATGCATTTTATTTATCTTAGTTTATCTGCTGCTATTTACGACAATATCTCAATAATGTAAACTGCAGGTTTAGAATATGGAAGTGATAAAATGTAGTTCGGAAGTTTACTAAAATGATTGCAATAGAAATACTTTTTTCCAGTGATCAAAATTGACAGCCATGACAGGGGATGACTGAAGCCAAACAATTTAGTATTCCAATTTTTGTGGAAAAATAATTTTGAATATGGAATTGAAAATGCAGTTCTAGATTGGTTTTCTTTTTTTTTCATTATATTCAAAATTATAATTGTCCCCCATTTGGTGAATTTACTGGTAAATGTTTATATTTTAGTTGTTTAGAACATCCATGGCTAATATTGTTCATTGATTATACCCAATATTCTTTGATATAATTTAGCTTGTTTCGATTTTATTAGCTTACAATATGCAGTTAACATTTTATTATGTTTATTTTGACAAAATGTTAGGATACAAAATTGTTGTTATTTTTTCTACCCATATTAGGGCGTGAGAAGTCTAACTGATTAAATAATTATCTCGCTAGTCACTTTGACTTGTCTTATTTATTCGAACATTAATTTTCTCACTGAGTGTGGCTTTTGCTGAAATTAACTTCTAAAAGTTTGGCATTCATGGTGTCGTATTTGACTGGTGTGTTATTTTTCTCAAGCCCAATACTGACAACTCGATTGTATCCTGTAGTAAATGTACCTTATTATACTTAGTAATTTTATTACCTTTACTGTTTTCTTTGGAGCATGTAAACAAAATTTAAACTTTTTATTTATATCAGATGATATTTCGATAAATATTATTTTTAAATTCAACGAATAATGCAAGTTGAAAAGTAGCTAGAAACGGTAAGTGCAAAGTTGTTTTTTGATATTCAGCATGCCTGTAATTGATTTCAAGGGATTAGTATGCATTGTGCTTCTGCTGTTTTACTTTTTCTTTTCTGATCCAAAATATGGATAGAAGGGTGCAGGGTTGATTTTTTTTAGGATATTTGCTCAAAACAAGGTCACTAGAACTCACTCAGAAATGAAAAAGAATGATCTGTGAGCGAAGCTTAGGCAACACTCAAATGATTATTGTTTAATTCAAAGGTGTGATACTTTTAGTACAGGTGGGCCAGATACAAGTAACAGGTTGAAACCGCGGTCTGCACCTTATTTAACATAGGCTTTCTGGTAGTTACAAGCTCTAAATTTTGGTTAATGATATTAAGACATGCGTTGTTCATTTTGCACAAGCCAAAGGGAATAGTCACTTTGGCACAAGCTAGCATTTAGCATGCAGGTTGCACACATCCTGGTTTAATCAGTTTATATTATATATCAATTATTATTAAATTTTATAAAGCTTTGGATATACATGTTTTATTATGTGTATGGTGGTGACTGTGATATGCTGGAACTCAAAATAAAACCTTAATACTCAAAATATATTTGCACTTTTTCAATTTAGTTTAACGATGAGAGCTTCCAACATTTTGAAGTTGCTTCTTGTTGCTGGTGCAATTCTCGCAGTAGCATACACTGTGAATACATATATACACATTGTTAATAAACTCACTGCCAGTGAAATTATAGAGGAGGATGTGCAAGAGGTTTTAGAAGCCAGACAGGGAGAAAAAGCTGTCGAAATAAATTATGAAAAGAAAGAATCTCCTAAGAAGATTAATCGAGAACCTCCCCAACTTCCAGAAGTACAAATGGCAAACCAGGTATGTGATATGAAAATCAAATGTAATGCAGAAAAGGAACTACCTGTTCAAATAGTCAGTGGTGCTGCCAATATCATCGGCCCATCCATTTGTGTTGGCGGTACATGGATCCTAAGTAATTCAAAGGGAAATGTACATCGTGGATTGAATGTTGCTGTCATTGATGGAAGAACTGGAGCAATGTTAAGAACGAAGGTTTTTGATTTATATGAAGTTGATAGTACAGAATTTGAAACTTTTCTCAATGAACTTGATGAAAATGAAGTCATTATTATGACAACTTATGATGATGCAACTCAGCGTTTGAAAGATAGTACAAAAGATATGTTAGCAAAATTAGGCAGCACGGAATGTAAAACATTGGGTTTTCGGGATAACTGGATATTTGTAGCAGGTAAAAAACTTGACAAAGTTTTTGAAAAGTATATTCGCAGTGAAAAAGATAAAAACAAATATGGGAATTGGCCTGCTGCTATCACACTAGAAGAATGTATTCCAATGTTGTAAGTGTAACATCAATATAGTATAGACAACTATTTTTCTGTCTTCCTTTAGTTCAAGGGTGTGCAACCTGGGAGCAAAATGCGGCCTGCAGGGAAGTGCCAATTTTGAATGATGTGTGGCCTGGGAAAAGAGTTTTTACTTTGGTAATTCCAATCCCTTTCGTTGCAAAGCTTATACCCGAGTCCAATTTATTCTCTACGCCTATATGACTTTACAGTGCCCTAATAAGGCATATCATAAAATAAATAACCAATATTTTGTACTTGGCTTGCAACTACTAGAAAGCCTATGATAAATGAGGATGTTAAATAACAGTTTCACCCAGTTATATCAAGCGGGCCCTCATGTAATAAAGTTTGCACATCCCTGCTTTAGTTGCATTTTTTCTTCATATATGTGAATTGTTAAAAAATCGCTTCAAGTATCATATCATGATTATTTAACATAACACTTAGAATAAATCTAGTCGTATATCTACTGTAGCCTGCTATTTTATGACAATTATTCATATTGCATATTGGACTATTCATACATGAATGGAACCACTGTTTTGAACTTTCTGTCAAATACCTACGAAAAAGGATTTTTTTTAAACAAAATTTACTAACTATTGCCCGAAATACTGTTGTTATGAGGGTCTGCTACATTTGAAGGGCCAGTTAATTTCTGGTCGGACATGGCACTAATTTGTTGCGCCCTGGGTGAGATGATGGCATGGGACTTAAATCTGTAATGCAAGCAGATCGAGGCCCGCTGGAATGAATAAATATCAATTCCTGTCCATTTAAATACCCTACAGCAGACTCTTGTACTGAGTCTTTATGGAAATGAAGGTGTCTTTTATTTACATTCCATGCTACTGTTCATAAAAAGTGTTGTTATGTGACAGTGAACAATGTCTCACAAACCTCATCTCAGATGTGGCGATTGGTCAATTTTCATATTGTCCATATTCTGCATTAACCTGCCAGTACATTTTATCTGAATTTTTTGAAATCTTAACCCTTTCCATGCGATTTTTATTTTTTATTAAATAATCGTATTTGCTACGCCGATTTTATGCATTTGTACCCCCACAACTAATCGATCGACTAACGAAAAACTAATGATCCTCTGCTGCCCACTGACGGCTCGTTGGAAAGCTTATTTAAAGAGCTTGCAATTGGCGATTAAAAAAAAAAGTTTTTTTAAAAGTGGTGGTCTGAGTCACAAACCGGATAGAAAAAAGGCATTTTTTTTTCTTGGGAGTTGAAACTTTAAACCGTGATAAAAAATAGAAATATTCGCTAAATCCTTTACTGTTACCGCTTCGTGGTTGGCAAACAATAGCATAATATTGCTGTAGCAATTTCGTGATCTAACTCAAAATACTTTGGTAGATGGAAGAGATAATATGTCTTCTATTATCACCCAAAAAACACCGAAATTTGCATAAATTTTCAAAAACACTCCCTCGTTCCGCCGCAAATAAAATTCCCGTCGTAAACGAAAGCGAGATTTACCGTCGCTTATGTTAATCTCGAAGAAGACTTCTTATCAATAAACTAAAACCCGGAAAGACTAGACCAACAGTTTGCGACCCATTGCTAAATTAAACAGTGAAGTGCATCAACGTACCCGCCGCAATCTAGCGACTTTTGTCGTGGGTACGTGCCCACCGCACGGAAAGGGTTAAGAGTAAGAAAACACATGTCAAACTATATAAATACCAGGAAAACAATTTTGAATGGGAGTTTCATCATAAAAATTTTATTGCTTGTGCCTTTTGTAATTTTATTTTATAACTTTTGTCAAATCGATAAGAATTGTGCTGACTAAATTATTATGCAAGAAATTTATTAAGTTGATATGCAACAACTGTGGGACATTTTAAATAGAAGTGGTATTTAACGAATTTAGTAACTTGAAATTCATTAGTGAAATTTAGATAATTAGACGTCCATATATTGCTAAATGAGAGACAATCTGTAAGGAATTGAAGTACAATTTTGATGGAGCAGAATGAAACAATCCTGTTGTCTCATATTATTATCAAAAAAGGATTAATCACTGTATTGATTATCCTCCCATCATGCAGCATATTACTTTTCTGATCTTTACACAGCAGTTATTATTATACTTAATAAATGTTTTATTTTTAAAAGTCATCATCAGCTACCGCTCTTATCAAATGCTATTTATTGATCAACTTATGAATACATATGAAATTTTGTATCATACTAGAGTTTTATTACTTCTTGCTCATTTATTTCTTCTTGCTCATTTATGCATACTATAACTAATATCAGTACTTAACCCTACACCATACAATGCCTTATTGTCTGCCATGGAACGGGCAACAGATCTGTGTTCAGTCCAAAGTTTTAGTTGTAATCCATGCCCACTAGAACGGAGACGATAACGCTAAATTTTATATTAAGAATCTTCATATCAGAGATAATTGTCATAAAGTTAGAATTAGGTATGCAAATCAATATTCCCATAATAAAAACTGTAATCTGGACAATAAGTAATGAAAAAGTGTCAGCAGTTGCACATAAAATTTTCTTTATATTACCCTTAAAATCAATAGTACAGTTGGTATTTTTATTAAAACTTGTAAATAAAGCGGACATGAGTTGCTTTTTTGTTTTTTATATTAGTTATCAGGCCATACTATGTACAATGCATTTCATATTTCTATTGCCAAAGCTTATTTTGCACTGATTTGTGTTTCTTCTCCGTCCATTGTAGCTATGTCCTCCTAATAAAGTACTGTAATATTATTTAACTAATACATATATCATTACAAATTTTCCCTTTTATTATTAGTGTTTCTCATGTCAATTCTTCCATTTCAGTAACAATATATAACAATTGGTTTGAATATGATTCAAAAGGCATTGTGAGTCGATTTTGAATGTATGTGTATGATATGCCCACGTTAGACAGAGCACTTCTGTTTTAGAACGTCACATATCTTTGAAATTTGTGTAATAAATTCATATATAATACACACATATACTCTTTGTTTGTTATAGCTGTTAGCAGAGATCAATCACACCTGAAGAGTTATTTATAATGAGCTGCTGAGAAAGCTGTTCGAAAAATCATGCTCTTTCTGCTGAAACTTAAACAGTGAACCATCTAGACCAGTGGTTCCCAACCACAGTGCCAATGTGCCGCGAAATGAACAAGGAATTGTTATTTGACTAGCATTATTGCCGATTTATTGGATCATTATTTAAACTCAAAATAACATTCAGGATTCAAGCAATAAATCTGTCTGGTTTTCATTCACTATTTAATAGGAAAATAAAACACGCACAATGTGAAAGTAAAATCGTAAGGAAGTCAACTATATCGTCTTCTTAGATATCCGCATTCCGGCGTCAGAAATGGTAATATTGTTAGCTTAAAATAGGAAAAGGTAATTTACAAACGGTGGGGAGAAAGATCAAAGCCGGCGCAAAAGATAAAAATCGGAATAAAATACCGAATTCACCCCTTACTAGCTGTTTTTAACATATGTCGCCTATGTGAACGCTTAGTTCTCCCAGGAATATAAAGCCAAACTTCGACGTTCGCCGTTGTGTAATAATTTGTCCTTGTGAAAAAAAAGAGGATGGGCGGAAATAGCTCACCAACATTAGAATGTTTAGCGTTCTGAATGCCTGTTGTATATATACTAAAAATACCCGATATTTGACAATTCGTTAAAAATATTCGAATCGATAAATATTCTATTTTGCCCTCCTCTGCGATAAGTAATCACACCGGTAATCTGGCGAAACGCGTGGTAGTTCAAACACTGATGCAATAAAATTTAAAGAAAACTTCATTAAATTTAGTAAATTGCACTACTTCACCAAAGCGTGGTGGAATTGACGATTATTTCATATCTCTAACACAAAAACGTTTACTTTTTTGAATAGTTTCTGCGGTCTGAAAAGTCGAATTAGCGGTCCGACATAATAAACGCTATGATAAATGCCATTAATAAGTGCCCGGGCCTTGCACGAAATTCAAAACGTGAAAAGATACGTCCAGCGGTTTATAACAACTTTGAATCAATTTATTGTTGTTTAGCGAAAATAGATAATTGGAACGGCGAACAAAACCGGAGCGCGTGATCGGCGGTGCGTTTAAAGACTTCGTAGGCTATTACCCGTGCGTCTTTTACAAAAATGCGAGGTGCTCCGAAGGCGCTCTGGTGTACATTGTTGTAAGAAACAGTTATAATATCGGTAACTATTAACCATTAGTTCGCGCTCGACTATCGTACTTTTCGGAAATGATATTTTTTTGAAGCGGGAACAACACGTGTTAAAATATAGACGAAATTATTGGGGCCCCTCTCCCTGCGTTAAGAGTGTGTATCTCACAAAGAGTTGGGAGCATGTCTCCTTCACATTCGTCCCGCATTACAGCAGTAGTAAAGAATCTTCAGGCATAACAGTCCTACTGACATTCACCATTATTATTATATCTATACCTGTTACTAAACACAGGGTATGTTGTATTAACATGAAAAAAATTCCCTTTATCTGATCTTCTTTGTTTATTATTATATTATAGCAAACTGGCTTTATGGTTAGGTGTGCTCATGTTTTGTTATAGGTGTGCCGAGAATATTTGAAGTGCTCAATAGTGTGCCGATGTGTAAAAGGGTTGGGAACCACTGAGCTAGACATTCGGGAGGAAAACGACAACTTTTTTCAAGGAAAAGCAAGATAACACACAGAAAGAGGGAGATCGAAGCCATCATCGAACACCAAGTGCAAAAAGCTATTGCGTGTGACTAACGATGTGTATTCGACCACAGCACTTGCTTCACAACCCAACATTGAAAATTATGAGATTGAGATTGTTTTATCGTGTACCATGTAATTGTAAATATCTCTGAAAACTATTTTTCATTGCACAACAAAAACGGTATAACTTGACATTATTTGAAATATGATAAAAGAGAACAGTATGGCAAAATTCAGAATGCAATCAAATAGGATATCATACCTAAGTCTAGAAGGGGCTGCTTCCATGGTCGATTTAATTTTGAAATATATACTGGTAATCACTAAACTAAAAACAGAACAAATAGAGCTGTCATTCACAAAAGTGAGTTTACAGAAATTACTTTTCCATGTGTATATTATGAAAATGTGATTGCAAAATAAATACATATAGATATTGAACCGTATGTAGATTACTAACTGACATTATCCATAATTAGACTCTCTAATTTCATATATTGTTCATCCACGTGTGCTCGGACAATAATATGCTATACATGTATTTTGGTACAATGTTAGAAACATTAAAAATTCAAAGCAATATGTTCTCAGCAATAATTGACAAAATATAATGAAATCACTAGAGTCAAGAAAAGAAATGCAAAAATTCAGGCAGTCATAAAAATAGCAAGATATAATCAATTTTTATACTTATAGATGTCATGGTTAGTAATAGGCAGTCAAAAAAATGGCAAGATGCTGATCAATTTTAGAATGCTCGCTTTTAATGTGCTCATACCTATCATGGTTAATCGTAACTAGATGATTTAGCAAAGAAATATAAGATAATGCTGTTATATGATAAAGAAAATATTAGAGGTGTATCATGGGCCTTGTCAATGCACCAGAAAAATTTTTCAAATGAAAATTTTTTTTCAATCTGAAATAAAAAAAAATCAAACATTTTTCATTTTATAAAATTTCATTTAGAAAAAATTATCTTGGGCTAAATCAACCCTATAAGCGGCATTTTCAAATGCATTAATTTGATGCCACAAATATCAGCCAATCAATATTGTATACAAATGCAGTGACATCATGCCTCACAATCATTTTTTTTAAGAAAGTTGTGTATTGGAAGACATTTACAGAACAAAAAAACAGACACATTCAGAGCAATAACAAAAGTTGTTGGTCACATCAAATAATATTTATTACAAATATACTAATGTAAATGTTTGCATCAATACTTCACACAGGAATAAATTAAGATAATACAGAAAAAATTCATAATTTAACTAGAGGGAATAATTTTTAGCTTGGGTAGAGTGCCAAATACAGGATCATTGAATATTTGTTATTGAAGTAAACTTATTCCAAGGAAATGAAATTTTACAAATTAAATCTTCTCAGATTAAAAAAAAATCCCAAAAGCAGCACAGCAGCACTAACAATAATTAATATAACAGAATGCTTTATCACTTGAAATGAAAATAGTTTAATTGTTACAGTTAAATCAGGGGGCAGTTTGGATATTTTTGGCATTGAAAATAGGATAACATATTGGGTAAATGGAACTATATTCATCGAACTGCTGGGAAAGGAAAACATATTGCAGTAGATCATCAGGATACTATCATTTTATACTATTTCAAAGAAAAATTGTTAAAAAATACAATAAATAACAAGCATACTGCACTTTATAAATATGTTAAATATATTACACATGTTATTTGCTTCAGAGTTGTATGTGGTATCATTTACAACAGGATGTATTGAATTGCACAAAAGAAGGAAATGTGTTGGCATGATAACGGCATATGTGATTCATCATTTCCATATGTACATATGATCGGTATAAACTGGCATGCTTTTGTGATAAAATATATTTATGCTGCTATCAAAAATAGAATGTAATTTTTATTAGGTAATGAGTTTGTTTTACCTACAATCAACTATGGGCCAATACTCAATTAAGATACACCATCCATGGCAAATAATTTGATAAAGAATGCATTTTATATTTAGGGAAATGCAATATAAATTATTAGGATATTCGATTGTATTACAAATATCTGTGACAACATTTATAACACTAAGCAGGGTTAAATTTTACGTACAAATATTAGAATGTCATCTAAATCAACTCTGTAATCACTAAGCCAAAGTCTACCATCTGAACCTATTTTGCTTCCTGGTTTATTCAATTCCGTCCACTGGCCAGCAGGAAAATATACAGATCTAGAACGTTGCCCCATTTGCAATGCTGGCGCAAACATTATATTTTCACCAATCATGAATTGATCTTGAATTTTATAAATTCTTTCAATTTCAAATTTGCCTTCAGAAACTGGTGGAACATTAGCAGCCATCCATAAAGGGGAGATGATAGGTATTGAGCCACCTTTATCTGCATCTTGCATGGCAGCTTCCAGTGCTGATCCGACAACTGGACCATGCCTGATATTCATGCACTTTTCAACCATACTGGAAAGCCTGGTAAAATTCACTCCAGCTTTACTTAGGGCATCAAAATCCCAGGGCATATGAGCAACAGGAAAAAAAGATACAAGTTGGATCCATCTAATAAAACCATCTTCTAAATCAGCTGGTCCCATCATGCTCACTTCTGCCAAGCGAAAGGGTAGATTTGGAATGAAAAAGGGATAACCAGCCAATCCGGATGCTAATGCCAACTTCATAGTAGATTCTAAACCATCTACTGCTTTAAGCATAACGATCTGGCGATCCCCTTGCGATGAAAATGCAACATCAGTGACTGTGCAAGTCCCAATTTGTCGTCCGACATTCGTATATAATGTAGAATAAAAACTTGGGTTATGCAATGGATTATGCAAACTATATTGTGCTGGGAGCCATGAGGCTTGTCCAAAAAATAAGTGAATATAATCTATTTTGAATTTTGTTTTAAAAAAATCGACATGTTTTGCAAACCATCCATTAGTTTCAGGGTTTGTGAAATCAACAATACCAGGATAAATACGATTTCCAAACATTGGAACATTTGTTAGCACAGGAGCCTCTTTTGTCTGACTTTTGACGAGAAAATCTTTATAAACTGCTTCTTGGAAATTATCAGAATTAAAATTTACAAAGGGTGAAACTGGCAGCATTACTTTAAATCCCATACCATGCATTGAATTAATGACAGTCATTGTGTTTATGTTGGAATCATTACGTAATTCGAAATCTCCAATTGCAGTGAATATGTCACTCATGTTACATAATATTCCTGTTCCACCAATCTCCTTTATGTGATTCAACTCTTTTTCAACATCATCTTTGTTAAAAACAATATTCCACAAAGGACGTTTGAATAGAAAAGAGCAAGATTCTGCCAATTTTTTCTTTTCTGTCATAGGATGAGAAGGCTCCTGGCCAGATTCAAAATAAACGCCATCATTAACCACATTTGAAAGTTTACCTTGAGTAACTGAAAGATCTGGTTTCAAAAGAGTAGAAGTTGCCTTCTCATAAAGTTCTTTTGTATTCTCTGCTGCGCAAACAACATACGTCAGATTGGATGTTCGTTCTTTCACATCAGAATGTGCCAATAAATGATGGCTGTCATCGTCCCTTGTTTTCAGACACAATTTTGATCGGGTAGCGTTATGACATAAATAGCTACAAGCAAGAAGAGGATCATGTAATGATGCTTTCACTAGTAATGCTTGTGATGACATCCAAAGTGGTTCTACAACCGTGCCACCCATATCTTTATGTGCTTTTTCAGTGGCACCGACTTGACTTCCAGTAACATAATGAGAACATGTCTTAACACATGATGAATCTTGAATTCGAGGCCAGAGAACATAATTTTGAGTATCGAACCAGACATTTTGTCCGATTATTTCACCATTATCAACACTGTCTAGATATATACAATCTTCAGGTATGTAATCATGCTTGTAAGACCATGAAACCTTAAAGCACTGAAGAGCATCACTCGGTGGCGAAGAAACCGGAATTTTCACCGAAATAATGCTCAATGTGGTATTATGTTCAGGCCATCTCAAGCACACACCAGACATAGTTGCTGGATCTTTGTTACAGTTATACGCTTGGTCATATTCAATTGAAGGAAAAGAATCTCCTGCAATTGAGATTTCCATTTTAATATTCTTCATGTGGTCTAAAATTTTCAGAGACCTGTCATGTAAACACAGTTGTGCAAGGCCATAGGGTCCATCCCCAATGCTGATAGTCTTTGGGCGATTATTGTAGAAATGTAAAATAAGAATCATGCCGATTATTATAATGGAGCCACATAATGTAACAATAAACTTCAACTTGCAACTTGTGGAATGCGTTGTTTTGACATTAACACCATTCATCCTCTCCATACTCACTCGCATTGAATATCTGGAAGAAAATTTGATTCTTGATATTACACACAAAGATTCTTCAAATTTCCAAGTTAAGTTAGACATCGCAGAGTAGCTTAGTGAACCAAGTATTGCATTCATGAGATATAACATAAATCTTGATGTTAAAAGATGATTACACCTTCATTTATTATCTTAGCTGAAGTAAAACCTTTAACATAAGGAAGCCAGGACAGGCTGGAACAAAATGCCAAATACATAATTATACATAGCAGACAAATTTTCAAACAAAATTTATTTTCAATACTTTCAAGCTAATATTCCAATAATACACATGAGCTGCTATCGCTGTAATAAGAATATCAAATGCTGAATGGGATAGACTACTTACTTTGTTTCAGTATTCTCATCTGGTTTATCCATGCCATTGACATCATCCCTGTAAACCAAATCATCCACAGTGTCATCATCGTCTGTGAATCAAATATTGTGTTAAAACAAGTAGCCTAAGTACAGCTCATGAACATGCGCCTACAGACCTATGTATTAGTTAGTAGTTTAAAGTAAACAGCTAGGCTAGATTTCTAAATAATCCTGTTTTCATCTTCCACACCATGCAATAAAGTGATTTAAAATATATATAACTTATGGGCCTCATTTTACCTAAGATATAATTCCAAAAAAACTTGAAAAAAAAAACATTTTAATGAGAAGAATGTACGGTAACTTCACCTGCAATTAACCCAACTTCTTGTTGGTCGTAACTTGGCTTGGAAGCAAAACGAGCATATCCATTATTCTTTCGTGGGCTGTTGTTATTCATGATTCATACTATGAAGTCGTGGGTTATCGCTCCAGACAAAAACACAAGTCTATGCTATGACTGAATGACACCAACGCGAAGAAGGCCCAACCAGAGCCAAACTGGTCTTACTACTTACTGAATACAGCGCAAAACACCGCAAACAGGCTATACCTCGGGAAAATTCCCTGCCTGCAAGAGTGCCGCTTAGTGAGCAAAATGGGATATAAACACCAGATCGTAATCTAAGCTGAAAATATGACATACGTCATACAATGTATAAAACCGAAAATATATAAAACCGCTCTCTATCTCTATGTCTCATTGCAATATTTTCGGCGCTCATTTTGAGGATGTTCTGTCAAGTTTGTACCTCAGTTCCCCATCCTCTTATAAATCACTATGTTGTATCGTGTAAGTATTATAAACAATTACACAACTATTCCAGGACAGTAAACCTATTTCAGTGTTGCCACTAAGAACTACCAACAACTGAATTTAGCGTTGTTGGACTACGTCACTACAGGATAGGATAGATTTTTCATATTTTCCTTTAAGAAAACAAACGCCAAAGCGACTTGATAATATGGCGCTGCTGCCTCTCGGTCCGCTACAACTCCAAAACGATATATATATATATATATACAGTAATTGTAATATAATGTGGATTACAAGAAGATTGAAGTAGGATATATGAACAGTCCATGAACTAGAATAACTTTTATACCTGGTACTTTCTTTGTGTGCCCAATCATGAAATGCTAGTATAATACAAATGACGGGGAATGACATCATTAATACTGTAGTCGTCGCGCTATCATTTTCTCTCCTTGTTTTTTTTTTCTATTCTAGACTGTTTCAATTTAATGTCGCTGTGTTTTATTTGTCACAAAGTCCGTGATTGTTTTTCAAAGAAAGACAGATTGATTGCGTCGTTGTTTAAATTGGGTTGTTACCAGCTGTACTCCATGGGAGAGCGAGTCATGCAGGATGCGAATATTTTGTTTGATCTGAGCATAAACTATGATCTGAGCGTAGCCTACATTGTGGGTTAATTACGCATTTGTATTTTTATCTCCAAGAGTTCTCATAAACTGAAAATCAAATTGTTTTTTTGGAACGAATAATGATTTGTTCCTCCTACAAACCCCTGCTATATTGGCTATAGGGGTTCTTGAACCGCGCTTTTTGAGCCGCGCCCCCTTTGAACAATTTTACAAACTTCGCGCCCCCCTCTTTTTTTCTTTGAAAAAATGCTTTTGTGATTGGCAGGTTGCTTTATATTAAGAGGGCACTGTAAGAGTGTTGGTCTCCTAGCGTCATTGCCCAGATTGTTTAGGGTAATACGCATGGGAGTACAACTTCGCCATTCACTGTCGTATGTATAAAGCCATACTCAAATAGTGGTCATTATACATTCTCCTTTTTCCGCTCAGTTCGCAATACCAGGTAAAGTCAAACTAAGTTTTAAGTAAAACTAAACACGCAATAAACGTATGCTTTTTGCGCTTTAATGTATTTTCTGCTCAAACGTTTACATATGACACGTAAAATTCAATCAACATTTTTAGCTTAAAACAGCAAAATAAAGTCGCTAATGACGTTTGCGATTGCATTTTGCATAAATCTCGATTGTTTTCGTCAGCGTGACGTGTTATTTTAGCCGTGAAAATCTCAATTTCGGTGTTTATTCTCCCTAAATCAGAAATTTTCCTCGACATATTTTAGTGCCGCGAAGACGATGATAATTGCTTCTTTTGTTCTCAAACCATGACACCGGTGGGGAAAACGAATTAGTTTTTATTATATAATCATCAACGACGATGTGCTAAAGATAATATAGAGAAGTGAATTCGCAACCAAAAATTTCTTGATTGAAAAAGCGGAATTATAAAATACTAAAAATGAAACAGAAAACACCATGAGATTTGTTTTGGGGTGGACTGCGACAGATTAAAACACTTTCTCAGACATTGCAAATCTAATAAATTCCTTGTGACTGCAGCTGCAGTGTTCTAAAACTATTGCGATGGTGGAAGTATGAGTCGCAGGACAGCTCATATTGGTGTAATTTGCAGAGTACGAATCAGAACAAAATGTAATCGGGCACTCTGCCACACATTTTTCATGCCCGCGGATTGCCTTGGTATTTTGGAGTAATGGTGCTTTTATTATATCGAGACAATCGCAGATTTAATTTATCGCAATTAAATAAATAAAGCAACCATTTTAAATATGTATATCGGTCATAACAGAAAAACCATTACATATCCGTTGAAAAAGTCGGCTCTTTTAACGAGTGGCGTAACCTCGACAACTGACTCAGGAGCCGTACCGGATTTCAAGTCGATGAATAAGTATTTTTTAGATACTAATATACTTTATATGTATTTTCATTGTACTAAATTAAATATACTGTCTGGGATTTTATACAAGATCTTTCTAACGACGATAATGAATTCGAATAAGCGTAATATATATGAAAACTAAATATAATTGGGCAGTTGATCACACATTATTATGTCCGCAGATTGGGGTGGTATTTTAGATCGGTAATAAGTTTATATTGTCCTGAGTCGCCGCAGCCGGTATTTTTTACGAATGCGGAGACCGTTTCAGGAACCGTTACATGGAAATTTCCGATTCCATCTTGTGACCTCTCGTGCACCCAGTTTAAGAACCACTGCCTTATAACGTCTGAGGCGACCTTTCGTGATGGCACGATATATAATTTAATTAGTAAGATTTAATTAACAAATTGTTTAGAACTTATAACTTTTCGACAGTCTAACACTCGACATATTGATATTGATACTTAACACTGGCCAACACATTTTTGCTGTCCAAAGTTTCTAAGCGGATTTAGGTTAATTTAAGGGTGCTGAGTACGAAAATCATACTATTTTTCCACAGGTCAAATTGTTGAAATATTTGCTATTTTATACCTTTTTGGTGCTTGAGTACCTGATAACCCTAACCTGGTACACATACTATGTTCAGGTTGAACGCCATCTTGGTGCACATTCTACCCAAGCGCCCCATTTTTACCTTACAATTAGGGGTATTTCTACATGCATTTTAGCGTTGGAATTGCCTGACTCCTCCGTTTTGTCCACTGATAGCAGTGAATGCGCTGTTTCAATTGTCGGTTTTCTTATTCTTCACTGTCAATCAAAATGACCAGTACGGAATGGAATTTAATTACCTTATATCAGGATGCACGAGATTTAATTATTATTGAAATGACGAAGAAAATGCGCATTCAAGTTCAAAAAATTTAAATCGGGATATTTAACAAAAAAATCAAGAAGGAATCTATAAAATTAAATTGAGGTATTCTAAAATATGAAACTCTAGTAGAAATTTAGAGGGAATGGATGCCATCTTCCACATTTCAAATATAAAAAAATGGGATACATAAATATATAATATATATTAATATTCCTACTGCCAATGCTTTATTATGAAAGTGAACACTACTCGGATTGTGGGTAAAAGTTTTCCGTAAATTAACACAGGTTTGTTTTTTAAATTATCTTTCGAACAGTTGTTCGTATTACTATGACAGGGTCATAAACTTGTAAACGAACGCATTACTGCATTACATTACTTTTTTTCTGTTTTTATATTTTGTTCAACTAGGATCAAAATTGGTTAGTACTGGTACCCCTACTGGGGGTTGAAATAATATCAAGTTATACCGTAGTAGCAGTAATGCTAGCCCAGTGCTACCCAACTATTTTTACCAAAGGTCTGTTTACAAAACTTCAAAATCAGTGATTTTTTCACCAGCGAAAATCTTTGCGGACTCAAGGTGCAATTATTGCAACCGTACTCTGTGTAGAGAAGCAATAAAACCAAACACACGAATTTTAAAATCAGAAATTTGCCACAATTACGCGTTCGTTATAAGAGCCGACTTTATTCATGTATAATGGCCTTTTCTGTCCACAATATTCGGCGCTCCCGTAGTATGTACACCAGGCTAGAGTTAGGCCATAATTCTAGGTACAAATACTACGGAAGTCATTTGGCTAGGAAAAAAATTACGGCCTAACCCTAGCCTGGTACACATTCTACGCAACACTAACTACTCAGAAAATCCCATGACAATCCGTGGACATAAAAATGCCTATTAAAGTGCCCGATTATATTTTGTTTTGATTCGTATTTTTGTGAATTCGACAAATCTGAGCTGTTTGTACAACACTTACTGCGCTCCAGTACTGTACGTAACAATGTGAAGGCAGTAAAGCAAAGAATCCTAAGGGAAAAGGCCTGGTACGTATACTACGGTAGCACCCGAAATTTTGCGACTTGCAATGTCTAAAAAAGCGTTTTTAATCGGTCGCGGACCATCATGAAACAAAACTTATGATGTTCTCCGTGTGACGACCCTTGTTTTATCTTTTAAATGATGTCATGTGATAATATTGCTATATTTTGTATTTTTAACACTGAAGACCCTGAGGGCGCTGTGACACTGTCGATCTGTCTTTTGGTATCCTGTTATCCTATGCTGTAGTTTACGGCAGTGCAGCCACCGCAATGCCAGCAAAATTCCAGCGAAATGTTTTAAGCACTGTACCGGGTGTCATACCAGGGTGTGCCTTGAATCATAAAATGAGGAACAGAAGATATATTTACATTTTTATAATATTTATCGTAGATTCATGGTAAATATGAATTTACCACTGAATAGAGAACTAACATGAGAACCAAACGCGACAAAAATTATGGTGCTTCTCTGTGATTTTTTGTGACCTTTTTTTGGTTCGAATATTGGGAATTGTAGAAAAATTCTAAATTTTGGTAAGATACCCGATTTTTTTTAACGTTTCCGGTCTCGGGGGCAAAAATATGAATTTACCAATGAATAGAAGACTAACATGAGAACTCAACGCAACAAAGAAATTTTAGTGATTCCGCTAGCGCTTAGCGCTACGCCTAAGTGTCCATATATTTGAGCATAGCTCTCATGTCTTAATTACATATGTTTAGAAAATTGCCAATATTCGAACCTCAAACAGTTCAAAAGCTCGTCAGATGTCACCACAATTTTTTTGTTGGAATATGTTCTTATATTAGTCTTCTATTCAATGGTATATTCAAATATTTGCCCCCGAGACCGAAAAGATTTGAAATAATTCGATATTTTATGAAAAAACTCAATTTTTGTATAATTGAACATTTTCGAACTTCAAAAAGTTCGAAAACTCGTCGGATGTCACCACAATTTTTTTGTTGGAATATGTTCTTATGTTAGTCCGCTATCCAATGGTATATTTAAATCTTTGCCCCCGAGACCGGAAAGATTTGAAATAATTCGATATTTTGTGAAAAAGTTAAATTTTTTCATACTTCAACATTTTCGAACCTCAAAAAGTTCGAAAACTCGTCGGATGTCACCACAACTTTTTTGTTGGAATATGTTCTCATATTAGTCTTCTATCTAATGGTATATTCAAATCTTTGCCCCCGAGACCGGAAAGATTCGAAATAATTCGATTTTTTATGAAAAAGTTCAATTTTTGCGTATTTGAACATTTTCGAACCTCAAAAAGTTCGAAAACTCTTGGGATGTCCCCACAATTTTTTAGTTGAAATATGTTCTTATGTTAGTCTTCCATCCAATGGTATATTCAAATCTTTGCCCCCGAGACCGGAAAGATTCGAAATAATTCGATTTTTTTATGAAAATATTCAATTTTTGCGTACTTGGAACATTTTCGAACCTCAAAAAGTTCGAAAACTCGTCAAATATCACCACAATTTTTTTGTTGGAATATGTTTCTATATTAGTCTTCTATCCAATGGTATATTCAAATCTTTGCCCCCAAGAACGGAAAGATTCGAAATAATTCGATTTTTTATAAAAAAGTTCAATTTTTGGGTATTTGAACATTTTCGAACCTCAAAAAGTTCGAAAACTCTTCGGATGTCACCACAATTTTTTTGTTGGAATATGTTTCTATGTTAGTCCTCTATCCAATGGTATATTCAAATCTTTGCCCCCGAGACCGAAAAGATTCGAAATAATTCGATTTTATGTGAAAAAGTTCAATTTTCGCATACTTGAACATTTTCGAACCTCAAAAAGTTCGAAAACTCTTCGGATGTCACCACAATTTTTTTTGTTGCAATATGTTCCTATATTAGTCTTCTATCTAATGGTGTATTCAAATCTTTGACACCGAGACCGGAAAGATTCGAAATAATTCGATTTTTTCTGAAATAGTTTAATTTTTGCGTATTTGAACATTTTCGAACCTCAAAAAGTTCGAAAACTCGTCAGATGTCACCACAATTTCTTCGTTGGAATATAGTCCTATATTAGTCTTCCATCCTATGGTATATTCAAATCTATACCCCCAAGACCGGAAAGATTCGAAATAATTCGATTTTTCATGAAAAAATTCAATTTTCACATAATTGAAAATTCTTTTCAAATATTGAATGAATATTTCCATATCATATCATTATAAGTTGCAGTAATATTCCCAAATCAACATCTGAATATAAATCCTCCGATAGCGTGATGTTCCAAAGTATTAGTTTTCGTAGAAAGTCACAAAGTACATTTTGTTAGACCAGGAAACACTTTAATATGAAATTCGGAAATATAAGTTTGATATTTGGCTGGTATTTGGCTGGCATGACAGTGGTGTAGTGCAGTTGTGATTGTTTCAGTTAGTTAAGGGTATTCTATATCTGTCAAAGTGCCTCTAAGTCTCAAGTAGGTTATCAAAGATGTTTTCTCTTGGTTTTATGACTATTAGATTGGGATTGTTATGTACCAGAAATAAATTTTATTCCTCGTTGTTCGAACTCGCGAGAAACACCACTCAGGTATCTATCTCGTGCGTGTTCGTCGGAAATCCGCAAGTAAGTTGGGAAATCTAATTTCGATTGAGCGACTGCAAGTGACCTGTCACGTCACATGTTAGTCATATCAGTAACCAGTAATTATTGATTCGATTAATGCTATGACAAGAAACTTACTTTTTATGTTTTATGTAAATTCTGACGTAAATCGTAACTTGGCTGATATTTGAGTTTCGCAAAAACATTTGTGGCCCGCAATGAATTTCTGGCTCGCTGCGGACTCAAACCGTAAATATATACTACTCATTTGAAACCGCCAACTCTGGTTGGGAAACACTGCATTAAATAAACGAAACTTCAACTACATTAGTCAATTAAATACTGAAATAGGTACAAGAGCAATGAATGGCTCAAAATATGGATACAAATGCCGGGTCTCATGTACTTTCTTACCTGAATAACTTCTAGTGGGCGTGGCGTAACAATTTTTGGATATATGATTCTTGACCCCTACCTGATGACGTCATCCAAAAATTACGTCACTGCGACGTCACAATAACGAAATACAGCTTGCCAAAGTATAGCGACGGTCCGGCGCCTACGAGTATGTCAACAAACTTAAGACGTCAGCGACCTCTCTCTTATCGGGGTCGTTGTGCAAAGCTCAAAATAAACAAGGATCACAAGCGACTAAATTGTCGCTAAAGAACGTTCACGATATCCCATTCTGACCAGTTTCAGAATTTCTGTCCAGCAATAGCTCATGCATCATGCTACAATCTAATAGAGCGTTATATGATACAACTCTAACCAAGGCTTTAGACAAGCAGAAAAAACATATTATTTTACGCAATGGTTGATTGGTTACCACACACATAAAGACTTATTATTTTATGTACAGCAATAGCCTATGTATCGTGCTTGCTACTGTATTTCGTTATTGCGACATCGCAGTGACGTAATTTTTGGATGACGTCATCAGGTGGGGGTCAGGAATCATATATCCAAAAATTGTTACGCCACGCCCACTAGAAGTTATTCAGGTAAGAAAGTACATGAGACCCCAAATGCCGCACATCGGTACCAGTACAACAACTGTATTGAAGTTTCCACGAGCATCGTTTTCCTTGATTATTTCCGTAACAATTGCCAATCAGCAAAAAGTCAACGATGACGTAACGATTAAAATTTTTAAAGCTGCCATTCAAGCATGACTGTAAACAAGCCTCGTTTTTGCGGATTCGCGTGGTACCGGTATCTGAAAATTAGTTGTAAATGAAGTATTTTAATTGTCATTATGTCTTCCGAGGAGCTTTAGTCGAGAGTTAGCTTAATCAAAAATGAATCCCGGGTAAGCTCTGATAGACTACCGGTATGCTTAAAAGAGCGTGTAAGTGGCACGTGGTTGTATATTTCAATAAAAGCAATGGTTTTGAGCAGGTAAAACAGTTTGTAAATGTCAACTCTCTGAAACACTCATAAAAAATAGGTACCCATCCAAAATTTTGCAATAGTAAAGTAGGCTATAGGGAGAATTTTGCTGGGCTCAAAGGTCAGGGAAACATCATATGGATCTTTTCATACTGTGTACGTAAATAGTATCAAAATCATCTGAAACTAGTAGTAGTAGTATTTTATTTCGTCAACAATGTCAAATAGTTAACATACAACATTTTAAAATTAATTTCAAGGCATTGTGACGAGGCTCAAACGAAGCGACCGTTAGGTCATCGAGTCAGTCACAGCCATTCAGATTCAGGTGTGATATAACCTCAGGGTTATATACACCTCAATGGCCACAGCCTTCAACAAAAATATAATATTATCATTTTGTCAACGAAATCGAGCTAAAGTAACACACACTGAAAATAAATTAACACAGAGAAAAAAATAAAACTCAATTGAATATGTTAAAACACAGTAGTTTCTTGCCCTCCTACCATCAGTGACCGATGGTGTGAGTATGTCACTTGTTTTTAAAAAATTTGCGGGCGAAGCATGCATACCTGCAGTCTTTTACTTCCTGACTAATTTCATTCCAAATAACCGGACCTTGAAACAATATGGATTTTTGTAAAATCGAAGAGTCTGACCTTCGAACAAATAGGTTGTGCTGTGAATATATTGTGCCGTGATTGTGGATTAAACCCATGTTTTGAGAATTATTCATAAAAGTATTTGGAGAATAGTTTTGTTTCGTGCGGTGCAGAAATTTTGCAACTTCATAACGATGCTTGTGCTGCCAAAATAAACAAGCGGACGCGGTCCAAATCGAATGGTCAAAAGGTCCGGATTCGGACCGCGATCCGCCAGTTGAGTAGCCCTGTGCTAGCCTATACCTTCAGAGCCCCGATCTTTGTGTTACGTTAAGGTTAAGCCATAGTATTCATATATCAGTATATGTTCAGTATGGTCTGATGGTACGGTACCGTACCGGTAATTACTGAATTATAAAACCACAAGACAGCAAGATGTACACTGATCTTTAGGGGAGGCGGACAACTCGACTACACGGACAACTCACCAGAGACAACTCGACTACCTAGAGGCCTGGTGAGTTGTCCGTCTTTTGGCATTTTCTACAGTGGTGTTTTAGGTCTATAGAAATGCTTTTTGATATTTTTAGTGCTCAAATGTTGAGAAAAATACATAAATATGCTTCAGTCATATCTTCAGTCCTATAAGTCAACAGTCTAACTTCGCTAAATTCTTTCTAGAGCATATTTATGTATTTTTTCTCAACATTTGAGCACTAAAAATATCAAAAACGCATTTCTATAGACCTAAAACACCACCGTAGAAAATGCCAAAAGAAGGACAACTCACCAGGCCTCTAGGTAGTCGCGTTGTCCGTCAGTCCGTCAACCAGGCTGTCTGGTTCAGTGATGCAAGTACCGTATTTTACCAAAATATCCACTTTTTATCGATTACAGCTTGTTGGCTTGGATTGCATTAACTTATAAATATGACTAGTGCAGCATCACTTTTATCAGCATTTGATTTACTGGAGAAAGAGTTTGATCGAGCTTATGTGGACCTTGACCTACTTCTCGGTGATACAGAACTTGATGATGTTGATGATATTTTGCAAACAGCGAAAGAGAAGATGAGTTCTCTCAGTTCATGTTTTTCTCAGTTATGCCACAAATCACAAAGTGCTGCTCAGAGGAATGTAAAATTAGAGGTAGGTTGGAAGGAAATTATAATTTAATATGAATTTTTATCCACAGGGTCATGAAATAATGCTGATAAGATGACTTAATCATGTTGCAAACCATGGTTGCTCATCCATTCTTTAATTCGGATTGAGCATCTAATTGATTCTATTCTGTCTTTTCGAGTACCCATGTAGTCTATTCTGTCTTTTCGAGTACTCATGTAGTCATCTTCTTTGACTAAAACACAATTCTGCAATTGAATAAATTTAGGCAGAACTCATTCACTATCGAACTGAATTATTGGATTGTCGTGCAGAAGTGGAGGCATTAAAAGCAGAATCAAACACACTTCTTCGTCAAATCCACGCACTTCAACTTCAATTACACAGCACAACAACTTCAGATCCAATGGATGCAACAAAAATAAAAGAAAATCTGGTATTGTATTATTTTTCTATCTTTGTAAATTAAAACTGATTTTGTGAACTGACAGCAATTCCCATTATGCACTAAGTATTGTATAGCATTTATGTCATTTTGGTTTAGTTCAATTTATTTTGAAAATCAACAAACATCTCTTATCTATATCTGTTTTGCTTTTCAACATTCTAACTTCTTAAAATAAATATTCTCCAGGAACAAGAATTAAGAAATTTTAAGAAAGATGCGAAAGAGCAAGCATTATTAGGAGAAACTGTAAAATTATATGAAACTCAAAATGAGAAACTCAAAGAAAGGTTAGCATTGTCAGAGAAAGAGTTGTTTGGTGCAAGATTGGCTGCAAAATATCTTGACAAAGAGTTAGCAGGAAGGTAATATGACACCAGAAACGGAAATGTACAATTCTGTTATATATTTTCAATATTTTTATTATTTATATTGCTTCAAATTCTTTTTCAATTCATATTTTTTGTTGAACATCGATTTTTTATAGTAAATTGGTTGGCTATTGAATGTTTTACCAACATTAATTAGATTTATTTATTTTCTAAATTTCTTCATATGTGTGACTGGGCTAGCCCTCTTTCTGCGGTTAATTAAAGCCCTAGATTTACTAAGATACTGTGTTGACCTCGCAGATTTCACATCTCTGATTCAAATTCCATGGTCCCCCCAACTCACCCAGGGTGTAATAATTTGGGTAGTTACGTTAATACCAAACCAGAAAGATTCCGGTCTCTCCAAATAATAGAAGCTACTTATATATTGCTAGATATCGGTGGCTTCTTGTATAAAGTCTTGTTCGGAGAGAAAGGCATGAATAAGTGCCGTATAAAAAATATTATATGTAATCTCATATTCAAAAACCTGTTACTAACCCACAACCACAAGTGCATCTGGAATGCAAATACATCAACATTTGTGAAAATGATTGCATCGGTGAAAGATACAAATGTATCATGTGATCATTCTCATATTATATTGTTTTTAAACATTCAGAATTCAACAAATTCAACTTTTGGGAAGAAATATACAAACAAATAATTTTGAAAAGATGTGGAGTCAGTTAGAAGCTGAAATTCATTTACATCGACATAAAACAGTCATAAAAGCTTGCAGGGGAAATGGAAATCTACCTTCACCCCCACAGCATGTAAGAATGAAATGCTTCACTTTCGAATATATTTTGTAAATTGAAAGTTACATGGCACCTTAGTGCAAAATCCTAACATATTTATAGAAGCTGTTGTATTGCTTCATGTGTGGATTTTTTTGCCAAATATTTTTGATTGTTGGTATTCAATATATGTCCGAAAATGTCACTCTGTTTGTGGGTAATACCAGAAGAGAACATATGTGGAAATCTTGGTTGTGATATATGACGCAAAAGTTGAGTGTTATATTTCTAAACTTTTTTTCCAAGAGTAATCAAATTTTTTAGCAGAAATTAATAAAGTCTCCTACATCAGAGTGGCCCAAATTTGGTTATAACAAGAGTTGGAGTCCAAATAAAATTTGAGCAATTTGTAAATGGTTTTAATCTGATAGAACTTCACGTCCATTTGTTTGTTTATTTTTTGCTCACTTAAAAGTTACGCTTGCTATATTTTTTGACAGATAAATAATGATGGTCCACAAAACCAGGGTGTTGGTCATGTACGAAAGGTTACAATTGAAAAAAGGCCTGAAGAGGGTTTAGGAATATCAATAACGGTAAGTGGAGTATTTTTCTGTTTGCTTATCCATGGGAATTTCTCAGTTGAGATTCATGGCAGCAAAAAATTTAAAGTTTACATTTCTGTTTTCAAAGGTAATTCATGATATATGTAAGGAATCCATCGATCCAATATAATGTTATGAATCATTTTCCAGTGTAAAAGTATTTGTATAGTTTGATTTAAATAAAATGGAATCCGGACCTTTTGACCATTCGATTTGGACCGCGTCCACTTGTTTATTTTGGCAGCACAAGCATCGTTATGAAGTTGCAAAATTTCTGCACCTCAGGAAACAAAACTGTTCTCCAAATATTTTTATGAATTATTATTAAAACATGGCTCCTATACTCCATTGTGATTAGGTCAGTTTGATCACCGCATTGGTACATTTACATTGATAATGACCAATCTGTAAGGTTACCCCTGTAACATAGGATGTTTTTAAAATATTTATTTTATTCGCAACACTGATTACAATGTTGCAGATAAAATAAGTATCTATTCAATGTGTATAATCAATATTTCATCAAATATTCATACACTTGCCTCATACTTGGGCAGCTTTGAGGTCTGTGATTAGGAAATACATTTATCAGCTGTTTTATTAACCTTTCCACTCGAGTTTTGGATCTGATTCAGTTGTTGTTTCAAGATCTGATGCACTATTTTCTTTTCTGTAGTATTGCAATCGGTATATTTTAGGAATCTATGAACTGTAATAATATCATCTAGTGGTGTGACTTTTATCTCCACTGGTACTAGGCCTACATCTGAAATATCTGTTTTTGTTGATAACTGTCTAGATTTATGTATTTATAGACTTTATGGCATGAAAACACACAATTTGGTTTTGCATTTTTTGAACTTGTTAGTGACCTTTTTCTGGAGAATTACATTACACCTTAAAAAGTTGCAAGCTCCTGATATTTTACAGAGAAGATAGATTTATAATGCAATGTGTAATTTCAATCGCAGATTGGAACTTGTAACCCTTAGTTCAACTTCCCCACTTTATCCAATCAGCACTTGTGCTTGAACATACATATTTGTATTTTGTCGCATTAAAAATCAAGCTCTTTTGAATTTCAACTGAAAGGAATGCCCATCATTAGATAATTACAGCATAGATGTTTGTATAAAGCTTTGTTAAAATAAATTTGCTATTTTAGTTGATATCAACTGCCAAGAAGGTCATCTGAAAATAGGCAAATTGTTAACTCAGTGACAACATCTGGTTATAATTTTTTATGTGTATTACCATGGGGATTGAAAATATATCGCAAGTTACGACTTCATTCACATTTTTCAAATTTCTGTATTAGTGTGTTATATCATGAAGAATGCTTTGGTACTGGTATTGATAAGTCATCATGATACTATTCATGCTTTATTTGGCATCCATCAATTTTATATGCATTATGCTATCTTTTATAATTGTTTTCAAGTTTTTTTTATCAATTTTTTTTTTAGGGAGGTCGGGATCATGGCGTGCCTATTTTAATATCAGAAATTCATCCAGGAGGTATTGTTGAACGTGTTGGTGGTTTATATGTTGGAGATGCATTATTATCTGTCAATGAGGCAAGCTTGCGGGATGTTAAACATGCAGAAGCTGTCCAACTTTTATGTCAAGAGGTGAGCTAGACGATGTGATTTTGATTATGATGTATGATGTTTGGCTTCGTTAAGATATTGCTGATTAGGGTTGCCAACAGAGATAGTCTCTCAATGGTTGGCAGTTGGCACATCATGCCTCCGTGCTCTGATTCCTCTGTTTCAATTCTCAAGTTAGAAACTCTTCAGAGGATAAATTGGACTCTTTGTTCCCACTCCATACACACAATCGGTGGTCAAAAATGGCTTTCTCCATGATGCATGCCCATGCATCTGGAACAACAAAAAATTTCTATTCATTAAAAATCCCCATATATATTCAATTGTGTATTTTTTTTGAATACATACCTTATTTTTTAACTATTTGTGGCTGTGTTATTTTGGTCTATTCTTTTGCAATAGACTTCTCTGGCAGCAATTTGTAAGTTTTTCATCAGAGTAGATTTAGTATTCAACTACTACACTTACACATGCTTTAAAGTCGACTAATGTAGGTATATATTATGCTAATTGACTAACTGTATCAGAAATATTCTTTATCATTACTGAATCAAGTTTTTATTTATTATTTCAAAGCTTGTATTCACTTCTGTTTTAAGATTAATTCTATGACATTAGAAGCTGTTTATGTTACACCTGAAGAAGATTATTATAGCAACGGATCAGAAGTTGCTTCTGTAACGTCATCTGTTATTGAGGAAGAGCAAGACAAAGTTTATAAAGGTAACTTATTTCATTTCTGAATCGTGTTACTTGTTGGTTCTTCATCGAGAATAAATTTATTTATTTTTCTACTCTACTAAAATTCGAGACGAAATTTTCCATTTTTTTTCAAATTTTATGATTATCATACTGGGAACAAACTTATATTAAAATTATGAAAATATCTCAAATTCAGTTTTGCTCTAATCTAAATATTAAACAGTGTGATATGTACATTATACAATATCATTTTTGTATCACAATCAAGTGTAACATCACAGTCATGTTCTTGAAGGCAAAAAAAAAACAGGAAAGAGAGGAAGTGCAGGACATGCGATGAAATCATCTAATACAGTGGTTCTCAACCCGGGGTCACGAAGCTGCTCAAGAGGGGCCACGAGACAAGGCTAGGAATTGATCATAAAGGGACTTCGTTTGCATACTTTCCTTTCAAAATAAAATTCAACTTCTGTGTGCGAATCTTGTTCTTCTGATCTTGTTACCATCTAAACAAAATCTAAAAACCCGTCTTGATGTTAACACTATTCGTCTGACTATATCAAAGACAATGTCCAATATAAGAAACCTCGTCAGACAGTCCCAAGCGCAAGATTCCCATTGATTGTATACTGAACAGCTTTTACTTTCCTGTCTGTGGTTTGCTTTTGCATTCCATAAAAGATCGTAAAAACATAATACAATCCAACACAATTCAGTTTTTTGGAATTGCGAACAGGGGGGCCACGAGTGCAAAAAGGCGCTGGAAAGGGGCCACGAGCCATAAAAGGTTGAGAACCACTGATCTAATATGTATTTTAGGTTTTAGCTACTCTTTACAAATATTTTTACCTGAAATTTAAACCATACACTGGGTGTTGTATATTTTAGATTAAATTATGAACTGCAAATAAAGTGGATGATGCTGGGATTCTTAAATTGCCATCGACTGCTATTGGTCAGCCGGAAGTACCAGCTGTATTTATGTTTGTGGCTACTCTTTAAGAGTTGTGCTCTTAACCAAGATCAATAATACATATGCACTCATAGGGATTGGATTTTAGCATTTAAAATCGATTATCTTTTATGCATTTAGAGCCAATATCTGAGAAAACTACAGAGAAATGAGAAAAACAAAACTGAATAAAATAGTGGACGCCAGAACATATGTTGGACAAGTGGAATATTTTTTATAGCCTTATCATCATAAATCTTTTATTAATGGTTTATTTGTTTTAGATTGAAATTTATATATATATTCAATATTCAAGGCAAAGTTGTATGTTTCATGGAATTTTTACAATAGGAAAATATATTGGCTATATCCGATAATTCAATCCATGATTGATGACGGATTATCAGTTTGCTCCCATGAACAATCGTAACCAATGTTCCCTCTAATTTTTTGTAGTATGTGTGCGCAGAAATTTTGGTGTGTGCGCACTTTTTTGGAAATGACTAATATTTGTGCAAAAACCAATGAAGAAATTTTGGCGTTCTAACCGGGTAATGGGTGGGCCAACAACAAACTTTCTCAACCTGCCAATCGAGAACATTGTTACATTACATCGAGATACGTCTGTGCGCAGTAAATCTATGCGTGTGCGCGCGCACACCTTGGAGGGAACACTGATCGTAACCATTTTATTTTTTGTCTGCTGTATTCATAAATTTGTCCCAACATATAAATCATATATATTATTATCATATTCCTGACAATATATTTTTCAAAAACTGATTCAGCAGCAGGGTTGGGTGAATACATGAGTAAGAAGAAAAACGTGGTCACGGCTTGTTTTATCATATACTTTCGCCACTTGTGCATGCTTGGTTTACGAAATCTTTAAATAAAATATTTTTCGATTTGTGTTTTTGCGAAGAAATTTAGAAACTTTAGTTTAGGTATATGCAAGTGATAAATTGTAACCTGTTTTTTTGCTGTCGCGTTTTAAGTTTACAACTGGAAATTGTCGGATGCCTCTGCTATTATATTATATTTATGTGCAATTGTATGGAAACTGCTACTTTTATATTCATCTGGATAAATTGGAAAAAATCATTTTGTGTGGCTATCATAATGTTATATAAAAAGCAAAAACGATAGTTTTTGAACATTTTGGTTATCATGATCATAAGTGTGGTCATATGTCTCTTACGGCTTTCTGGCTGTCGCACGCTGTGCCATCTGCAATCTTATGCTTCTTATTTATTTAGCTGAAACTTGTTCAGATTGTATTACTTTATAATAGCACATAAATGAGATGAAATTTTAATTATTTTTGGATTCACAGTATATTTTTAAATGGGTAACATTCTTGGATTTTTGGAAGTAAGCTGTTTATTACTAGGGCTGGGCATTTTCGAATACCTGATGATTTCAGAATCGAATCGAATAATTTTTTCGAATCGAATCTTGAATACTTGGAAGGTATGAAATTATATGTAACTTTCTTATTATTTTAGGTCCTCCAGACACATAAATTACTGAGAACATAGAATACATCACTGACAATAAATAACACGTTTTCATCAATACCGAAAAGAGTCATATGTCAGAATTGTGTTGAAAAAATATGGCTTCAATGAAAAAAAAATGAGAAATTTACCTCGACCATTGGTGGAAAGAGTAAAACAAGATGGCGGCGATTTGAAAATTTGCTCTTAACCGATTCTAATAATTTACTATTCGATTCGAAATGCCCAGCCCTATTCAAAACATTTTAAAAAGTACCATAGTTATTGGATGGGAAAATGCGCGCCAATACCGACTGAAAGTCTTTAACATCTGAATCTTAAAATAGGAATATTGGTATTGATCAAATTTTTGCAAAATACGAACGTACTTGGTTTATTTTTTTTATGTGTGTTTTCCAATTTAAAGTCGTCTTACATTATCAGATAAGGTTTGCATGTAACCTACAAGCATATAATGCATTTTGTATGATTGATGAATAACAGTTTTAGTTTATCCATCCATGACATTTGTTTATGATTAAATCAAAACCTTCCTTGAACAGAATTTTTTTCTTGAATGTTTCAACAAATGTTCGCGCCAACCTAAGTTTGTTCTAATCTGCGCTGATGACATTTTTTTCGAGCTTACAATAATGGATGGAGCTGGAGCTTTTTTTTCCACCTTTTCTAATATTTAATTTCAAAATTTGGAACCCTATATCAGTATGGCCGACCAGCGGCTCGCGAAATGAAGCTGGGCGGCAACTCCGCAATCTACCATTTGAGTGAAGTGGAGATAAAACGTTTCAGATTACGTCGCCGACGGCCCATTTAATTCTGATACGGATAGTGTGAGATTCCCTATGGCATCCGATGAGGTCGCAACCGAGTCTGAGATGATCGAAGGCCAACTGAAATGCGCTTTAATAAGAGAAGGGACCATTGAGTTATGGAAAAGCATGCCAATGGAAAAATACCTCGTCAAAGGAGCTGCGGTGAGGATATTGTCAATGTTTGGGTCAACATACGTCTGCGATTTCCGTGTGTTTTCGCCCTAAAATACGTGAAATCAAAGCATTAATACACCTCAATGGTTCTGACTAACATCCACGCGAAAGAAATGTTTCGATTGGCTACAACGACTTGCAATCCAAATTTAAAGAGGATTGTTCAATCCAAGGAATGCCAGAAGTCCCACTAAGTAGCATGCATGACAATAAATGGTTGTAATTTTCTGTCATAATCATGTTAGTAACATTAACATAAATTAGCATTCTAGCAGAGCTGAATAAAAGTATATCTGATGTTCATGCGTGTTCTTGTTTATAATGTGGCTCTTCGCGGTAATAAAGTACGAAATGCGGCTATTGGTCTCTGACTGGTTGGCCACGCCCCTGCCCTATATCATTTAGAGTCTGCTAGCCTAGGTGTTTATAGTGAATTAAGAGCGTCAAGCTCCGGCGTGAATAGACATTTTGGGCTTATGTTGATATCGACATTTGGAGCTGTTTCCAGGTAGACTCTACTGAGCTAGACGACCATGATTTCGAAAGGCTTGTTGAATTTCGGGGCAAAAATGAGTGTTAAAGTCGCTGTAATGTTCTTTTTAATTGAATGCATCTAAATTACTTTCCAGCTTGTTTATATCATTAGTGTTTGATGGAAACCCCCTGAATACAGTTTATGCTTTTCTAGAGGATCGAATGAAAAGATCAATATGCAGGACAAAGGTACCAAAATAGCGCAAACGTTCCTTGTGTAGCGTACCGGCAGTCTATGTAATAATTATACAAGTTCAGAATATCTTCCAATATGATCTGACGTCAAGTTTCCTCCCAATATTCACTTCAATTTATACTATTTTGTTCTATTTATTATTTACAGTCCTAATACAACCGAATACTCCAATGAAATCAATGAAACGAAAAGCATACAATAAAAATAACAAATACCAGGCAGTACAATAAGAGAAAACAATAAAAATTAAAGACGGGCCCTGAAATCAAAGACAATAGCAGCCAAAATAACCCCTATAATCCGGTACACTAAACCAGCTACTCACAATTTGCAAAATAGGCTGAGAATAACCCATGACGGGCACTTTAAAGAAAACACAATAATTCCACAGGTGCACAAGATTTGAACGGCACTGTTGATAGCCAATTTCATCAATAAACTAAAAATACAACGCCAAAACAACTGTAATTGCACTGTACCGGTACTAAACAATAATATCATCTTACTGTCTAGCATCAAAATATCTAACAATCCCAATCTAATAGTCATAAAACCAAGAGTAAACATCTTTGATAACCTACTTGAGACTTAAGAGGCACTTTTGCAGATATAAAATACTCTTAAACACTCAAAATCTAACTGAAACAATCACAACTGCACTGCTGCAAACCACAGCATAGGCTAACAGGATACCAAAAAACAAATCGACAGTGTCACGGCGCCCTCAGGGTCTTCAGTGTTAAAATACAAAATGTAGCAATATTATCACATGACAACATTTAAAAGATAAAACAAGGGTCGTCACATTACCCCCCTCTTCTAAAGAATGTTTTCATCTTCATTAGAAAAATTAAACAACGAAAGAAGCAGTAGTCAACACAAAATATTTACACAAAGTCTTTAAAATATGCAGGTTGTCTACGCTCACGCTTAGACATCCTTAAACTTTGTCCTTCTGAATTGGGCAACTCGTACCAAGGTATTATTTCCTCACAAGGCTGAAGATCCGCCTCTTCTGGTGTGTGTTCCGCAGAATTCGCCTCTTTCGATGTCTGTTCCCTCGAATCCGGCTCTTCTGGTGTGTGTTCCCCCGAATCCGCAGGGCTATCATCTAAGAAAGCACTTGGTTCCTGCGTCTCTTCATGAATAAAAGGTCGCAAATTATCCACATGAACCACACGCGTCTTTTCGCCTAGATTCCGTTGTATCTCATAAGTGTGATTTGAGAGACATCTCCTAACTGTGAAAACACCCTGCCATGGAGAACTCAGCTTCTTCTTTTTGGGTGGGTAATAGTACCATACAAGGTTTCCCTCTTCAAACTTCTGTGGTTGCACATGAACATCAAAATTTCTCTTCTGTCGCAAGGCAGCTTGATTCAAATGATTTCTGGCACATACAAAAAATTTCTCAGTGACATCTTTAAACCATTCCACATATTCGATATAACAAGGATGTAGAGGAGTTTGAGTCGGACGCCCATACATGACATCGATAGGAAGGTCAATCTCTCGGCCAAGCATAAGACGATTGGGTGTAAACTGCGTACTTTCATGCACTGTAGCTCTGTAAGCCATGCACAGATAGGGAACATGGTCATCCCAATCGTCTCGATGATCGTGGCTCGAGCATTTGCTGAATCGTTCGATTAAACCTCTCCACTTGTCCACCGGATCGAGGGTGATAAGGTGTCGTATGCGTCTTGACTATACCGTACAAGTCGCACATCTCGGTGAACAACCGAGATTCAAAATCTCGACCCTGATCAGTGTGAATAATCCGAGAAACTCCAAATCTTGCGAAGAACTGGGTGACCAGCAGATCGGCTGTTACCTCTGCAGTCTGATTGGGAAGTGGATAACACTCCACCCACTTGGTGAAATAATCTGATAGCACCAGAAGATGTTCATTTCCATTCTTGGTACGTGGTAGTGGTCCTAAGAAATCCATGGCGACCCGTTCCATGGGAGATACGCAGAGCAGTTGTCGTAGATCCCCCTGTTTGCGCCCGTGAGTCATCTTAGCCGCAGCGCAAGGTTTGCAAAACCGGCACCAGAGCAAAATATCTCTTTTAAAACCAGGCCAGTAAAAACGAACACGAACACTCTTGAATGTTTTAATAGAGCCTAAATGGCCAGAGGTACGGGCACTGTGTAACTGCTGGAAGATTTCTCTTCTCAATGCCCCAGGAATGTAAAATTGATAAGCGGGAGCACTATGAGTCAATGTTTCGGGTATCCACTTGCGATACAAAATTTCACCAGTCAAATATAACAAATGCCATTGAGCTAGATAACGCTTGGTCTCTAGCGATTCATGCATATAATCCTGTGGCTGGGGTTTATGATATGAACGGCGCTTCCAGGCAATAACTGCAGAAAGATGAGGGTCCTCGGCTTGGCAAATTCGAATCCTTTCCTCCGTGTATGTCTCCATCCAGTTACAGCTTGTTGGTATCCCAGGCAAGTCAGCATTATACAGAGGTGCTACTATACGAACATTGATATCCGGTTCCTGTGAAGTATACACACAATCTGGGCAGTCCGGGCGCTTACAGCGTTGGTTTGACGAGATAGACCATCGGCATTACCATGTTCAGTCCCTGCTCGATGTTCAATGCTGAAATCATACGTGAACAGTGTAGAGATCCAGCGAGCCACCTTCCCTTTCGGGTTCTCGGAAATTTAAAAGCCACTTCAAGGCACCATGATCGGTGCGAATCAAAAAGTGCCTTCCCCACAAATAATGGCGAAAATGTCGTACGGATTGAATCGCTGCCAACAACTCCCTTTCAGTGGTACAGTATCGGCGTTCCGTCTTGGATAGAGTTCTGCTGAAATAGGCAATAACATGTTCTTCCCCATCTTG